AGCTTCAGTGGTTTGGAATATATGTACATTTAACCATTTAGAGGGCGGGGCCACGACCACTTAAAAAAACAGTTAAGCCCACATGTGCCCCTTACCATTGCGGTACCCTGCACCAAGCAATAGTTTTTTATCTTAATTTGCAGCTTAGTTATGACACTTTTTCGTTTACCGAACTGAACACAGGTTTTCGTTTAATGGCGTTTTGTGGAGTTATCAGTGATTTGATTACGTCCATCTACAATACCAAACCCCCTTGGGTACCAAGGAATACCTATACCAAGTTTCATCAAGATATCTCAATTTTTACTCAAGTTATGGCTTGCACAGACAGACGGACGGACATGTCATTCGGATTTCAACCCGTCTTATCACCCTAATCATTAATACATATGTAGATAACTCCATATCTATCCCGATTAGTTTTAGGTGATACAAACAACCGTTAGGTGAACAAAACTATAATACTCTGTGCAACAAGTTGCGAGAGTATAAATATAAGGTCGACAAAGCGAATACTAACTAAATAAAAAAAAAACACATCTCTTCGGCAAGCCCGTTGTTAGTGACGTCATTATTTAATATTTAGTTACCTATAATATTTATATATTTTTATAAAAAAATATATGCATACAAATGTATATGTATATGCATACAAGTAGTATATACTTCTGATTAAATTTGGTTTAAATTTTCACTTTTTCATAAAATATCTCGTCTACAAGCATTTGAGTGACTTCAAGAACCATATGGCGTAATCAAGCTGAATCTAACTTCCAACCGGCCAGCGACAAGTAAAATAAATATTTCTTAAAATATAAACAAAGATCTATATACAAATGTGTATATGGTAGATATATTTACTTACTCATCTGATTTCTCTGATATGCTGTCGTTTTTTCTTTTGTCCCCAGAACTGCAAACGTTACCCATTTTTTCTCAATTTTTATAATATATATATATTTTGTTTTTTCTATTCAATTAAGTCGTTTATGCTATTTTAGCGACGATTAGTTAAACTGCAAATAAATGGGAAGTAGTATTTGATTGTTATTGCAATTACAATTGCAAGAGTGTAATGTCGTTGCACTTCACAAGCAGGATGCATTGTTGTGGTCTAGCCGCAATCTCGCAGATCCAATATTTATTGACATAATATCAAAGAGATATACATACATATATGTTTCTACTTGTATGTTGTACCATATGTACACATATTGCCTCACAATAGATTTGCTGGTTTTGTTGCTTTTCACCTTGCCATGCTATCTTTTATATAGCAATTACTTAGTATCGCCACCCCTATTAGCAATAGAAGGATGAAAAAAAAGTAAAATAAAATAATAATACACGTACAACAGGTCAACAAATGTTCAGGGAAGACCGCTAGCGAAACGCATGCTCTGATATGCCACACATAAACGTACTTGAACGCCCGCACCGCACCCCCTTATATACATATTACATAGCAGAGTTAGTAGTGCTCGGTACCTACACACGTACATGGTTGTAAGTAGGTTGTGGGAGAGGCGTTTCCGCGCTACCTTCAACCCCGCATGTATACATTGTTTTTGTTGTTTTTTCTGCCTTTTCAAACAGTATCCAATTTTGTATACACATTATGATATTTTCTGCTTTAGATTTTCCTGATTGCAACTTTCATTTCTGATAAAGTTATATATTATATGTATGTATATATTACATATTCAATTAAATTTATTGAATTTGCACGCTTCAATTCGGTCAGGTTAAGCACTATCGCAATTTAAAACACAAATAATTCTATTAATAACACTATAGCAGATTTTTTGATACATATCTATGGTTGTACAATTATATATATGTATGTATATATGGTATGTATTTCGATAGGTAAGTATAAGCATTTAGAAATACACACTTAAAATTCGTCCGGTACATAAATACATATGCATATATTCGTCTGCATAAATGTATGTATGTATATGCACATAAGCAAAGTAAATTTTAACTTTTTCTAAATTTAATATATTTTTATTAAACTAAATTTTAGTGCCGTATTAATAAATCAATTAATAGCATCAACAAGATTTGGCACTAGGGGAGCGCTGGGTACCGTGCGACAATCAACGCGCTACTACATACATATCGTTCTGTGGTACATTTAATAAAATAGCCTCAAACGTTGACATTTTCTCTCAATAAAATTTCAATTTTTCAGTTCGTCCTTTTTTTATTGACCACTGTATTTTTATTTTATAACTTCCATAATAATTTTTACACGCCGCATTAGTGCAATTTATATTTAATATAAATTTATTACATTTGAATATTTCCTATTTAATTATAACTTGTTTTTTAATTTCACGTCTTTCACAAATTTTATGCACTGCATACTGATTGCAGAAAATAAAATAAAAACTACTTATACTTTTAGATGTTGTATACGAAGCTTTAGAGCTTAATATGTGTGCTTGAAGCTTTCGAAAGAGCAACGAAAAGGAGATATTTATTAAATGAGAGAGCAAGGTATGCCATACGACAGTGAGCGAAGATTGAAAATAATGAAAACAACTGCACATGTAACAGCGAATATGCGTATGTGTGTATATGTTTATGTGAGTATGCACAAGTGTCGGTAGGCGAATCGGTTGGCGCTTCAAAAAATTCATATTTCTTAATTTCTTGATATTATACCCATTTATTTATAAGTGGTGTACACAAATAACGTACATACATACTTAACTTATGTATGCATGTACATATGTGAATACATACTACCTATAAAAATGTAGATAAACATAACTGTATACTTGTAAGTGTATGTCATGGAGCTGGCAAATATTTGTGTGCTATGACATTCTTACTGCTAATCAAAAGTCACTGATAATAGCCTGCGACAGTTTTCAAAAATTAGCAGGGACTGTTACTGTGGCACAGTGGCACAGTGATACAGCGACGTCAAGAGGTGTTGTAAGTATGAGGTAGACTGTTAGTGTAGGTATTCATATACATATAACGGCAAAAAAGCTCGCTATGAATAAATAAAATCCCAAAAAATAAAATTAAATAATATTTTAAAAAATTATTTTAATAATTTTCAGACCTTAACTTTGTTTATATTTGTCTGTCTTTTAATTAAAATTGGCACAGACTGATAAAAAAAATTTCCAAAATTAGTACAATCTTTTTTATGTTCGTGTGAAGTTTGATCTCTATATATTAATTAGTATGTGTTTGGCAGCCATTTACTGCGATTCGTCTATCCATTGATTATTTTCATATTTTGGGTATTAAATGTGTCAAACTCGAACCAAAAGACCTAAATCAACGTAGCTGAGAACCATACATTCATCAACGGCATCAATACTGGAGACGAGATGTGAATTTATGAATATAACGAATAAAGCTCCAAAAATTAGTCGAAACCAAAACTGAAGGTACTGAGGCCACTCTTGCGTACTGGTTTTAACAAGAGAAATGAGATTGGGACGGCTCTAAAGCTAGACTTTTTAATTGAAAGCTATAGGTAATATATACCATATATGTACTTGTAAGGGACTATGCTTGAGAGTTCGAAGTTTTGTGATTCCGTTCACTTATTTTAGAGTACTATTGAGCAAATAGGTTTACAGAGTTTCCGGTTACAGAGATTCGATTGCCTTAAAAAACTTCCTGGGCGAATATTATTTCGAGTCTATTCCGGATACATAGACCTTATTGTCGTAGGTACGACAATAGTTTTTTTCATGACCGAAATTAACTCGTAAGTTTAAAATTAATTGCTGAAGGACGAACGCTTTTAGATGTTAGTCGGAAATGGGATAGAATGCACACAGACGCAAAGCAGGAAATTTTATACGATTATTTTAGCGGAACAAGTTTCTTCTTAATGATTGTTTTTAATCGATTCGGTTTTGTAGCTCGATTTTTTGTATATTTTCAAACCAAACTTTTAAGAGAGAGAATATGGTGCCAACTCCGGAATATATGGTGGATGTATAATAGCCTTCAATATTCACTATCGATCTATGTGACCTGGTCTAGTCCTGATAGAACACAATTCCTTTGATATAGTATCTGCCAATCTGCCAATCATACAAACACATAGCAAAACCTTCCTGACCGTCAATCTAGGCTTGGTCACCGTGATTCGACCACGACCGTTTTCTCTTGACGTTGTCGTAAGTGCCCCTTTCATCACCAGGAACTTCATATATGGATCGATTTTGTTGCGACCCAACAGCAATTCGCAGATTTGGTTCATGATGCTTTTTTGGGTTAACTTGTGTTGCATTCATACATCGAGCTTCTTTTTATATTCAGCATTATTTAAATAGTTCCAAATGGTTTTTTTTTGTAATGTTTAGCTCCTGGGCAATCGCAACAGTGCTTACATCACGGTCGGACCCCACGATTTTCATTGTTTTACCGATATTTTCGACAGTTGACCTGAGGTGCATTTTTGACAAAAAAATTACAGAAATGGAATCGACGAAACCAAAATTTCGAGTGATTGCATGTTAAAGTATTAGATTGGCTTGTATCTACGAAAACCTGTAAAATATGGCACATTTTCTCTTTGCTGGTGTCAATCTTTAACGCATGCTCAAGCAATATTCCGTCAAATAATAAAAGTATAGCGTAACCCGATCGCACTTATAAAACACGAAATACAAATTATTAAAGCCATCTATTGGAAAAATAATTGATTGCGTGACCATATATAAGCCATTAATATAGGTAAGTATTTGAACTGTTGTTATCGAAATCATCTAACGGTGGTTTCGTAAAATAAAACATCGAAATGGGGATACAGCTAAGAAATCGTATCGTTAGTAAATGTTAAAGAATCGTTAAAAGTTTTACAGGACTTTCATAAGACAAAGTTTTGAAAATAGTAATAGCGAATGATTTCGTATGCAGAGTGATTTTTATGTCTTTTTTAAGATGTCATAACGCATATATTTGCTAATTAGATTCTATTAATTTCGGTTCAGGTTTCAATTCTATTTTACCTGTGAAACAAACAAGGAGATTCATCCTTCACCACACCAAAAAAACGTCTCACAGCTTCTGTGTGACAGCTAAGCTCATCTGAGCAGACTGTCAACAGACAGCATTTCTCTTCTCACCTCAATTTGTACTTATTATAACCATCGTGTGTAGTTTAAGCTCCAGCATCATCAGAAAAACAAGTCAATTTAATCGATGGCATTAACTAAAATTAATTTAAAAGAGCTAAACGCACATAATTAAAAATAAAATAATATACATATAACGATTCGAGTAAATTGAAAAGGAACGTTTTTTTATTTGCATTTAATGTACATTGAAAAGTCCATTACAAAAATTTAAAACGTAATAATGAATAAATTGCTGATTTATTTCTTGCTGGTGACAGTTCTCATATATAAAGGTACATATTTACTAAATAAGATAACTAATATATAACATTTTCATGAGCGAATATCAAAAATTGCATTGAAACTTTAAAACAGTTTTATTTTGTTTAGTTAAAAAAATTAAAAATATATTTTCATTATATAAGCATAATATGGTTGTGCGCAAGTCAGTAAATACTGTGTACAAAGGGTCGCCCTTCACCACTAATATCTCAACTATGTCGCAGACAATGTGTGCGTGTGTATGTAGGTCAAAGTTTACAACTGCAATTTTGCAAAACAAAAGATTGTTACTGTTGTTGTTTGACAACAACTCAAAATTTTGCACTACTGAAAAATGATATTTTACTCAAATTAAATTACTTAAACGTAGGCGTGTATTTATGAAACACGACTCAATTAAATAAAAAAATAATTATAAAATTTCTAATAATATTTTCTTTGTCATAAATTATTTCCCTTATTTTTTGCATATTCCAGTTATTTCCGTACCAACACAAACGCAAACAGAGGTTCCTCAAGATGACGAAGATGAAGATTGGGACGAAGACGACGATTCGTCTGAGGTAGACGATGATGGACGTGTCTATAAGAATCCTAGAAATTCACCATCCACTGAATGTCCAAGAGATGAGGAGCAGGCAACGCTACTCGGGCAGAAATGTTTAAGAAAATGCTCCTCGGATGAGGACTGTAAGAGTAAAAAGAAGAAGTGCCTATGTGATGGTGTCTGTGGTATGTCCTGTATTAAGCCAGGTAAGCGGTGCCAAAGTTTAAATATTTGAAATAATTGTTTCATAGTCATGCTGCAGATTTAATACCTAAATTGGAAGCGAAAAAATAATCCTTAGAGAGTAGTAATGGAGAAGTAAAAGTAGTAAACTCAACATTATTTTAAAATCTCATGATAAATATACTACATATAGTAATAGAAACTTTTATATTTTTAATAATTACAGATAGAGAATGTCCTGAGCTCGCGCAGCCATCACTGGGCCAAGTTACGGTCGCAGGTAGGCATTTTGGAGCACGTGCTACATATTCTTGTCCCCATGGATATCATGTTGTTGGACTACAGAGTCGTCTATGTCAGGCGGATGGCAATTGGGCCGGCGCTGAACCGGCATGTAAACAGAATAGTAAGTTAAAACGAATACAATTTTAAAATAATGAAAATAATGTCACATTTACACACACAGGCGATTTATTTTATTAAGTTATTATATTTAGGCTATAAAGATATTATTATTTTTGTTTAGATTTTGAAATATTTGTTGAATTATGTTAAATAAATAGGCATTTAAGACCTTAAATATTCCAAAATCAAATGTCATTTCGTAGTATGACACCATTTTTAATATAACCGTTTCTTAATTTTTAGTTCCGATAAAACGAAAATTATGTTGTCAAACTACGAAATGATAGTTCAAGTATTTTAAATTTACAATTATAAGCTTGTTATGCCTGAATCCATACCGAAAATTAAATGTTAAGGCTTACTGCTCTCAAGATGAGTTACGAAAATTAGAAATAATACGGTACACTATCTGTATGTGTTGGTGCAGACATTTTGTAAATAACTGTCATTCAACATCTGAAACAGGTTCTAATTCACCTGACTTTGTAACAATTTAACCTGTAATGCGTTAACAGTAAATATAATATATTGCAATGATATATAGGATTTTATATGTATATAAAATATTGTTTCCTTCTTTAATCAAGATCGAGAAAATATATCTCTACGGATTAATAAAAGCTTTCTTATACGATCTCAACTTTTTTCTAAAATTTTGAAACTAATTTTTGACACCATGATATAACCTTTACATAATAAATCAACACTAAAGTATTTGAATATTACTAAGATTAACTGTAATTTTCAAAAATATACTACTAACTAAGCGAACTATTTCGCCAATTAGCAGCTTTATGCTATTTCAAAACTTGAGGGTACTTGTTTTAAATTATTACTGAGTTCGCTGTCACAGCTGCTTTAATAAGTAAAGTGTCTAAAATATGAAATTCAAATTTTAAACTTTCAGAATCAAGTTGAGTGAAGATATAGGTTGAAAGGTTAGCTTAAATATGTATCTTTAAATGAATAATCTTAAGTTTTATTTTATGATGGTAAATTAGCTCGTCTATTTTGTAGCGAATTATACAAACATTAGTTGGGATACATAGATATTCATAGTTCTAAATATAACCTAAAAATATGCTTATATAATTTTTGAATTTTTTTATTATCTTAAAACTTCAGTTTTAACGAATTTGATATGCTTGCTTCCATTGTTGTTTTTTAGTTTACTGTCTCAAACCACCGCAAATAGAGCATGCACGCCATTCAGCGCTACCCGAACAGGAAACCTTTGATCTGGATTCTACCGTTCAATATCATTGTCATACTGGTTATGTAACAAATGGATTTCCACGTGCCAAATGTCTAGCCATTGATGGTCAGGCCAGCTGGTATGGACCGGATATACAATGCGAACGTAATGTCTACTTTCAGATATTAATTAATTGAACTATTTTAAAAATTAAGCGTAAACTTCTTCACTTTGCAGCAAGATCATGTGGACAGCCGCCAGATCCAGCTTATGGCTGGCATGCTGGTGAATGCTACACTTTCGGTTGTAAAATTAGTTACAACTGTGGCAATACCTATGAGTTGGTGGGTAAACATGAACGCTACTGCCAATCGGATGGCTCCTGGGTGCCAAAGGAACTGCCCACATGTGTCTGTAAGTAAAACAAACCAAAATTTTCATTTAATTTCTTTAATATACAACTTTATTATTTTAATTTGTATTTTTTTATATTAGCGAAAAATGATAATAATACCATCGTGGCAAACAAGTCACTATAAAAAAGCAGTTACAGAAATTCCGAAAATGTCAATAAAGACACGCATATAATACAATGCCAGTTAAAAATGAAAACAAAAAGAAATAATTTGTGCGTTCTTTCAATAAAATAATTTGCAATAATTGTTGCTTGCAGAAAATCTTCAAACTCTAATTGTTGTCAGGTTTAAATGTTCAATTAACAATGTTACAAATAAAGTTACCGCAAATATATACGCATATATAATTAAACGAAACAAAAATGTTGTTTTATTCATAGTTACATTTGGCTAGCAGATAATTTCATTCAAAACTTTCACTTAATTTTCATCTGAATACATTTTCAATTTGCGGTAACTTATTGTTGTTAATAATCATGTGCAACATCGGCAAGAAATTAGAATATCAACGTCAGTCGCAAACATTTTAGATTTGTTGTCATATCCTGAACGGGGTATATTAAGTTTGCCACGAAGTTTGTATCACCCAGAAGGAAACGTCGGAGATCGTATAAAGCATATATGAATGATTAACGTGACGATCTGACTGGATTCAGCCAAGTCCGTATGTTTGTCTGTACGTACGCGAACTAGTCCCCTCAGTTTTTGAGATATCGATATGAACATCATTTGACAAATTATCTTCACGAAATTTGGCATGAATTATGTATTGTCCAATTGCTATAATCTCTGAGCATATTGTTTAGATCGGACCATTATAGCATAAAATTTCAATCCATACTGACCGATGAAGATCAAGTTCTTATAAGAAAAACTTTTTTATTTGACAAGATATCTTCACAAAACTTGACATAGATTATTGTCGAAGACAATGCTAGAATCTTCGAATATATTGGTCATATTAGACCATTGGATAATATAGCTGTCATACAAACTGACAATTTAAAATCAAGTTTTTGTATGGAAAGCTTTTTTATTTGACAAAGTATCTTAACGAAATTTAACATGGATTATTTTCCAAGAATATAGTATATTCTATAGCTTATAATTGCATTCGAAACTGACTTATCAAAATCACGATTCTTCATTAAAGAGCATTTTTCCTTAATAAGTAATCTTAACTTGCCTTGATTGTTGTTTAGATCAAACAACGTGGCTAGAAAGAACTAACAAAAGGTTTTCCATTGGATGCAAATCTTTGGCCGATTACGTATTCAGATTTAGTTACATGCATAGTTAGTAAAAGACATATAGCTGCAGTCGAGACTCATTCCAGTCAGGTCTGTTTGCTCTTTCAACAATAACAATAAATACCTTTTAAGAACTCATCTACTCCGTTTTAATTGGTACGGAAGCCAGAAGTACTTCCGTTCTGGTCATTTATTCCTATGACACAGTCAACTAAATTTTTATAGAAGACATGCTTTTAAACACCGATAAAAAGGACAGTTAACTAGTTTTTGCTGTAGTAAATAGATGTGTAGGTATTGCTTAAAGTAGATTATAGAACTTGCCATATTGTGACGAAAATTGGAGGTGTATTCATGCAATGTAAAGTCTTCAATATTTTTTACCGTTGCATGAGCACAATTAATATCGAAATAATAAATTTTGTATCAATTGAACTTATTGACCTCCACAACCCCTCAACTTATAAGTGTGATTACAATAACTCAATTATCACGTATCTCTTTTTTAAGTGGTCACATCTGTTGTCTGTCCGACACCGGAAAATCCACGAAATGGCAAAGCTACATACACCACCATGGCCTACAACTCAGTGGTAAGTTATGAATGCCGTTACGGTTATACATTAGTAGGAGAAAGTAGTAGTAGATGTGGTGCCGATCGGAAGTGGAGTGGAACCCTGCCAACTTGTAAAGGTATGCATGCCTTATAAAAAATTGAATTTTAGTTATTCATACAAATTTAACCCGGACTCACAAAAAAAACTTTTCGCGTTTAATACAAATCTTTATTATAGCGTTCAAAATTGACATTTTTTGAGCCAACACAAGCCACAGACTAATTCAAGTATCCATACGCTTGTTATAAGCCTCGGCTGGGATGGCCTTTTGCGCCTTCCTAAAATTTTGATTTTTCGCTTTCTGCTCATGTTTGAAACGCCATTCACTAGATTGTTGGATAGTTTCAACGTTATATTCATAAACCCATGTCTCTCACCAGTAATGATGCCTAAAAACTTAACCAAAATGTATTAAGTTGAGAGGTGGATGGACGACTCGCATGAGGCCAGTTATCGTTGACTTCACGAGCTTTACTAAATGCTTTGTGGCACTTAGTGCTACTCCAAGTAGATTCCCAAAGGACTACTCCAACATTTCATTCCGTGGCCCTGAATTCATGTCGAGACACAAAATTTCAAAAAACTCGCGATGAGAAATATTACAGAAATTTGTTAAAAAATCTTTTTAATTAAAATAGAAATATCTTTGATATTTCTCTTTGTCAGAGTAGATATTTTCGATATCGTCCTTTTATATACATATAATATACATTTATTTATAATCACAAACATGTGTAACCTAAAATTAATTATATTTATTCTATGTGATTTAGAAATTAACTGCGGACATCCTGGTGTACTTTATAATGGTTGGATTGAGAACATCGAAGCTGGGACTGGACTTGGGGCGAGCATAATATTCCGCTGTCAACCGGAAATGTTAATACAAGGACATTCGTCCAGTGTTTGCCAAATCGATGGTCGTTGGCGTAATCCATTACCCGAATGCTTAGCACCATGCGTTGTACCATCCATTTCGCAAGGTTATGTAATACCTGTTGAAATCATTACCGATGAAAATGGCACCACCATTATTACGCCCACAACTACACAATCGCCCACAACTTCGAGTAGCGGTGTTGAAAAAGTCAAACATGGCACTGCTTTGGAGGTGAAGTGTGATGAAAACTATGAATTCCCCGTCTCACTACTAAGTCCACCTACATGCAATAACGGTACTTGGAGTATTATACCGCGTTGTGTACCTGCACGTTGTAAAAATATGCCGAGACCACCTAAGCATGGCATGGTGCTCGCACCGAAAACGGAACACGGAATGAAGGCTAGATTTAAGTGTAAAGACGGTTTCAAGCTGATTAGTCCTGAGGGCAAGGATGTCACAGATCCCAATGAATATGTTCTAACATGTTCATTCGGTAATTGGACCGGTGAAACACCACAATGTCAAGAAGTGTTTTGTTCGTTTCCCGGTTATATACCTAACGGCAAGGTATTGCTTGTCGGAAATATGGGCCTCTACGATTATAGACCGTATGTAAAAAAGGTGGGCAAATCAGAAAATTTATAATTATTCTTCTCTCATTGTATATACATACATAAATATTATATCTTTACAGATCGTTAATAACAAACAAATAATGTATGACTGTGATAAAGGTTATGTTCTGGAGATAGGACCACCAGGGGCCACTTGTGTTGGTGGGAAATGGCGACCTCTAGAACTACCGCAATGCTTACTTGGGCAACATCCGAGATTACGTTGGAATCGAAAACGACGTTCTATACAAATGCGTTATTTACGCTCCCAATATTTATCACGTAATAAACGAGATTTGCAACGAAAGCTAGATGAGATAATAAACGGAAACTTTCAACAATCGTTAAAAGCACTCAAACAAAATTCTGGTGAGAAAGCTCATTTGCAATTTAATAATTTAACTGGACATTAGTAAATTGGATGTCTATAAAGGGGCTAGAGTTTTGCTTCTTATAGTGCGGTCGTAAATTATTCGCATATATTAATCCTCCTCTTAATTATTAATTTATCAAGTGAGCGTATTCATAACCTTGACGATTTATTATAGAATTTACACTAAAATTTCCTAAAGAGAAGGGTCTAAAATCCACACAATCCAATTGGATTATCTATAGTTATATCATGGACAAGATAAGTTTGCCACAAAATTAGTAACGCTTAGAAGGAAACGTCGGAGATCCTATGAAGTATGTATGCATATATAAAAGTCGATTCAACCGTGGCCGTCGGGTTGTCATTCTATATCTATCTAAAATTTCGCATACGTCCTTTTCTCCCTAAGAAGTTAATGATTTGTCAGAACCGGCATATCGGAAGACTTTTGCAAACCTCCGAAGAAAAAAGAACTACTTTTACCGTTAGGTAAAACATTCTAGTCGTACAAATCTTTACTTAGTGTTTCAAAATTCGACACGGTAATTTAATTTGCCGAATTTTGTGAGACAAGTTGAACGATTTCAATCGGTTTGTCAATACCATTATAAAAATATGCACTCTGTATATATATAATGAATTCAATTTTGGATGACTACTGTCTGTCTGAGTATCAAATTATCGTGGCTTTTGGATATGCGCGTGACTTGTTTTAAATATCACATATATATATATATATAAGTAGATGTCAAAAATCCAATCATGTTACTCAATTATACATACCATCTGATGAAATTTTACTAGGACTGGTCTATTTAAACTGCAGGCGCAACCCGAATCGATAAAAATATCCTAGACTGGCACAACCTTTTTTTATACATCCTAGTAAAGTAAACGAAAACCGCGTCACAATATTAACTTTGCAAGCCATTTATTGTAATGTGCAACTCTATTTTTTTCAGACATATCCACCTTCCCCAAAACACGTATCAAACGAACTCCTTCTGAGATCGATCAAGCATACTCCAAATATTATCAGAAGATCAAGCAGAAATATCAAAATTACGTCAAAAATTTACTTGGCTACAGCAGATTGCATAACCCGACAGATTTCCGAAATCCAACCAATTTAATACAAGTACAAGATGGACGTTGGTACAATACCTATAGTAATCCCGATCTGGTCACACGTTACAAAGCTACACACAAGTCGCGAACATCGAATAATGATTTCTTAAGTCTAGAAAATGACGAACACGATTTTCTATCACATCGCGTATCTACCAAGATACCTCTACCTAACATCAATCAAAATTCCCGTTATAGTGTACTTGCCAACAAACCGATTGCTAATGAGAATATACTGTACGACAGCAACTCGGCAAGTTATTTCTTTAACAACTTTCGCAATTTGCCAAAAACTCAAAACGAAACCGATTTGATACAACAACTTAAGTCACAAATTGTGCGTCGACGACGCAAGCGCAGCATTAACAGTCCAACGACATTGTCGCCACTTGCACCAGATGATGACACAAATGATCAATTGGAGTCGAAGGAGGGCAGAAAGCGTTTACGTGGACCATGTGAGGATGTTAACTGGGATCAATTCTCCAATATAACGGTGGTTAGACCGGGTAAAGCACCTGGTCGCAATAGTGTTGGTATTATGCTTTATTTAGAATGCAACGCAGGCTTTAAACTAAATATAAAAGGTGAAAATGCGACCGCGCGTTGCATACGTGGCATTTGGAAGCCTGATACGCCTAAATGCCTCTCAGGTAATGTCCAGGAAAGTCATTTACATTAACACCATACAAATTGTTTTATAATAACTAAATGTATTGTAGCACCTTGCCTGGTACCGGCCGTCGAGAATGGTAGATACTTCAAAGTGGAAGCGAACACGAAAACGCTTACCGATAAGCCTACACTAACAGCACTGACAACCTATGAAGAAGTTGAATCAAACGAATTCATAACGCTCGAATGTGACGATGGATTTAATATACAGGTAAGAAAGGTCTCTAAACTAGTTTACTTAACAAAAATTTCGTTTACCATAAGTATTTTATATTTTATTTTTTAGGGTTCAGCACAGTTGCGTTGCGCTCATGGCAGTTGGTCGGTGAATGCATTTTCCGAATGTGTATCCATACCATGTACACTGCCGACGCTACCTGGCATAATTTACGAGGTAATCGCGTGCCGTCGTCTTTTTTTTGTTGTGATTAACAAGACTTGTATCTCTTGATCTAGGGTGGCTACCGATCCGGACTTACAATTGGTCACGGCAGTACGGTGAGCGCTCATTGCGACCACTCAACAAATGCTATGCCCATTGAAATGAGCTGTAACAAAGGTATCCTAAGTCCACAAAATATACACTGTGAAACGGGCCAACGCAAATCACGCGAGGAATTTCCATCTGAAGCGCATGGCAATGGAAAATCGAATCATGTTATAACGTTAAAAATTGATAATTCCGAATCGGAAGATGCGACAAATGCAACGGAAGAGAATGTGACTGAAGAGTTGAAAATGTGTGGTCCACCGAGCATAGCCGATGGTGCTTTGGTATACAAGTAATTATTAGCTTCTATTTACAATAACCACACTATTGAGGGGTTAGGGATAGAGACAGTCTAGAGCCTCATCCAAACATCAAACATTTATTCTGTTAGTATAGAAAAAGAAATCGAATTTCTTACTTGAAGGCTTTAAAAAAACATACGTATGAGTGTACTTAAAATTTTATACTATAAGTTCTCAACGGGCGACGATGATTCTAGGAATTCATCCTGTCTGCAACAAAATAAAAACTTAACCGGATACGTACATTTATAGCTTAATATTCATTTTTCGCAAATAACATCAACGACAGTGATCCCCAATTTAAAAATGCAGTTTCGAGAATAGTTTGTTTGAAGTTTTATATGCTGACTCACGCTTTTTTCTTCCTTTATTATTTTACCAATTTATTGATATTTTTAAAAGCCTAAAAAGTGGTATATCAAGTCTATGCTGTATGGCGGTCAACAACCGTTCGAATCAGAGTCGTAAATGACGTCTACACCTTTACAAGATGATAACGAAACTTGTCTTTCTATCTAGACCGCACTCCTACCCAATACCCCATGACGTTCCACAGCTTTGACATTTCCCGCCTTTAAAATGTTCCAATGATCTGATATTAAAATGGTCCATTATTCCACAGTTTCGGGCGTAATACTACAACTCCAAAACCGTATTTTTAAATAACTATGAAATATTTTTAAACTATGAAATTTTATTTTCGGTGCGCTTTGTGTTGATGTTTTATTTTAGAAATACTGATTTATCTGATATCGAGGGTGTATACGAAAGCGGCACCGAAATTTTTTTTAATTGCATACCGAGTGCTGCCGGAGAGAGGAATACGTGGAAAATAATATGCGAGAATGGCCAATGGATTGGACGCTCCTACAATTGCGGTAAGTATTATCAAATATTTAAAGTCAAAAAAATTTGTTATTCGAGAATATGATTGTAATATCTCTGCAAATGCTTCAAGTTCATATGTAAGAAACTCCTGGAAATTGCATCCAAACTATCCGTATAAACGGAATATTCCAATATCAAAAAACTTAAAGGAAATCTGAAGACTCTGAATATTTCAATATTCGAAGACAGTATTAAGTATAATTACTATACTTAGTATAAAGTCGTTTTAAAAACTATACGTATAGTAATCTTTATTATCGCCTTCAAAATAGGCTTCTGATCCAACACAAACATGTCATTTCTTAATCCAATTTTCCATGCACTTGTTATAAACCTCAGCTGTGGTAGCCTTCTATGCCGTTAGCGAACTTTCGTTTTTTCGGTTTCGGCTCATTTTTGCAGCACCATTCACTAGATTGTTGGACAGGTTAGACACCATATTCATAAACCCACTTCTCTTTACGAGTAATGACCCATTTGATGAATGTAGAATCCTCAGCTAGGATCTAATCGACGTCGTTTTTATAAACCATTCAAGTATTTTGGTATGAGACTAGCATTAGCTCATCTCATACCTAAAACTTTAACCAAAATATGTTGAGGCGATCGTAATAGATGTTGAAATCCTCTGATATCTCGTATCTTAACAAATGAAATGTCAACACGAAGATTTTCAAAAATGGTTTCTTTAAGTTTTTCCATGTTATCGTCTTATCAAAGGCAAAGTCGTCCATCCAAATCGTATTAGACAAGTTTTTGATGACTTCACGACCTTCACTGAATGCTTTGTGCCACTCAAATACTGGTGCTCGTAGTGAAAGTAGACTCCGCAAAACATTTCTGCAACATTTTCAATAAATCCTTGAATATAAAAAAAGATTGTACCAATCTAAGAAAAAATTTTATTGATGCGGTTTGTGTGAAGTCCCGATCAAATTTGATGGTATATTATCCTAAAGTGAAAATATGACCCAGATATCCGGATGGTAACGAACGCTGATGGTCTTAGCCTTGGGTAAACATTTCGTAATAAAATTATAAGAAAATTCTTAACATATGAAATGCATAGATTTTTCTCTTCACTCTTTGCAGCGAATGGAACATGCTTGTTCAAAAACAATGAACCAAATGTGGTTAGTTTTTATAATGATCTCGAAATACGGGAAGATGTAGTGGAATTTCCACCAGGTGCCACAATAATATCACGGTAAGTATAAGCGGGACTTTGGATTATAAATATCTGTATAAATTGATGTCCAAGGAGATCTAACGGTTGGGCACTTCGTCCACCTAAATTATTTTAACGAGCTCACAAAGAGTTTTATCAAAAATGCTTCCACTTCCGTATAGATGTGTGGACATAGGAAAGTTTTCAATGGTTGGCAGCAATGAACGAACTTGTATACACTCCGAATGGACAGGCAATAAGCCAACTTGCTATGGATTGAATCAGGAAAACGACTATGCAAGTAAGAAACTAAAAAAAAATAGTTGGTGTTTTTTATTTTTTTGTAAACATCTCCCAAAAAGTGGAAAAGGCGCCAACAATATTATTTAGACATCAAAATGGGCCGATAGCGCAGAGTAATGATGGAAAGCTGATTGTCTATCCGGGTACAACGTTACACATGGAATGTCTTTGGATGAGACGATTTGGCAATCCCAAGTGGAATGTGAGCCATGAATTTAGGTAAATATGAGACAACTAAGATTCAACATATGTATGTACATACGTAAACACTGATTTTTATTTTTTTCAGAAATTACTCTGAGGGTTGGGTCACCGAGGCTGATGCGGGACGCGATGCAACACTAGAATACCGTTTAACCATATTTAATGCAATTGATGAAGATACCGGTGTTTATTCCTGTCAAACTCCGGCTAGACATGAACACTCTGTAGAAGTGGTCGTTAAAGCCATAAATTGTCCAGAAATACCACAACGACGTGGTCTTATTGTAAATACGAATGACACCAAATTAAGTACACGCGCTTTGCTCTCGTGTGCAAATGGAAATTCATTGATTGGCGCTTCAGAACTATTTTGTCTGCCCAGCGGCAATTGGAGTGCGCCACTACCAGTTTGCGAGAGTGTCGAATGCGGTGATATTCCTTTGCCGAATAATATCAGTTCGCCGCGTGTTGCGGTTTTATCGCGTGAAGTTGGTGGTAGAGCAGCATTTTCTTGCGCTTCTGGCTATGGTTTGCGTGGCCCCGCCGAGGCTATATGCTTACCGACCGGCGAATGGGCTACGCCCTTTCCAACATGTGTTGAAGTACAATGTGAAAATCCCGGCGCACCACTTAATGGCTATGCACAAGGTTCAACGCCATACCGCGCAGGGGATGTTGTTCAATTCAATTGTAATCCAGAGTACATGATGCAAGGGCAACCGATAATAGCATGTCAGGATAATGGACGCTGGTCGAGCGGATTGCCGAAATGTGTACAAGCTTGTTCATATCCTGGTATTTTACACTTTTCGCACTTGGATGTTGTAAATATCAGTTAATCGAATTTAATTTCTTTAACAGGCACGGCTATCAGCGGTCGTATGTCATCTGTCAAATTTTATTATGCAATTGGTGAGAGTATTACATTTACCTGCGACGCTGGTCTTGAATTACGTGGTGCTAAAGTCCTTAAATGTTTAAAAAATGGAAAGTGGTCGAATGCTATACCAACATGTGTCACTGCGGATCAAGTGAACAAACATCAGAATATAATGGGTTAATGTGAAAAAAAATGTAAAATTACTGTATATCTATAGAGAATATACAATTTTTCGATTCCTTCCGAATGGAAATTAAAAACATGTCGATTGGATTGTAACGCATAGCGCTTTTAATAAAAGTAATAATATATTATAATTAAAAGTAAATAAATTAATTAAAAAAATTAATAATTTCTTTTGAATTTCGGTATTGCTTTTAACGATAATTCGAAATTAATTAGTTTTCAAAAACAATACTTAAAAGCTCAGTATTTTTAATAAACGCATTGACTGCGCTGAACGTCTTTGTTTTATCGCTTACTCGTGATATCACAAATAATCTAATGGTAATTAATCACCACCTAAACTTAAAGATAGTGAAGCAAAGTGCGTTAAATGTTTTTAATTTAATTGATGTGAAACAACTTTTTTAGGGGTTTCTTTTTCGTCTTGAATGAACGTCTTACATCATTTCAAAAATTTAAAGCGTTTTCCCAACGACTCACGTTGTAAAAGTCGTTACCCCTCATATATATGGTATATAACTTTAAAACTACTGCACCGATTGTTTTGAAATTTTGAGCAATATTTTTATACATAATTTACTAGATAACTTGTTAATATTTTAAATTTCAAAGTAACACATTAACCGCTTTCATAAAAAAATCGTGTTTTTCCCTTCAGTGCTTCAAAAAAATTAAGGATTGAAGTTTAGAAAAACCCCCTTAAGCCTTACCTGAGCAAAGCGATTATCTGACGATATAATTTTGATTTTTTTATTTCCGATATTTCAGCACCGCAATTCAACGCTTCAGAGTAATTGCTGCCATTGCCGTATTTTTTAAATATTTGTCCATGAATATTTAACAGACAATTCTTTAAATATCATACTATAACGTAGCATGAGTTTTCAAAAATAGATTTTAATTGTTTTACACTAATTAACCCTATTTATACCATCAATCCCAACTCAAAAAGTCAACTTCCGGAATTTTTAAAAATAATATTATATGTATTTCCGGAGTATATAGATATCATTTAGTTAGTTAGACAAACTATCTTAGTACTATTAATAACTTTAATAATGTTTATTTTAAATGAAAAAGCAAATAATATAGCAATGAAAATGCAAACTTTTAGTTCACAATTTATTGTTTGAATTTACAATATCAATTATGTGAATTAACGAATTTAAAAATTTGATATAGCTTTCAGTGTTGCTTATTGAAATCCCTTTGGCCTAGAGCATATCACAGGAGATCTACTGAACTACTTGCCGCAATCGTAGGGGTTCTTACAGGAGACTGTCCAATAGGCATTTATGCGGTAAGGCTAAAAACCTTGTCGGACCGCCGTTCTAAGCTGTCCAAGTAAGATCCCTGTTAGGATCTAAAGTATTTTTTCGCTCATGAACCCCTTTTTCTTTAATAGAACTAATGGAATTATAGTTAGATTTCTTATTTCCTATACATTCAGCTGATGATTCCCATTCATAACTATTTTTTAGTTAGTATAAATAGCAAACAAGATAATATCCAATTTTGAGAGAACAAATCAAATTCTATATACATCTGATAAAAATATTGCCTACTAACCAAACTACCAAAGTCGAATGAAAACACCAACTTTAGTCTGATCGATCCAAAACGGCAACGCTATTAGCTTTATCCAGCTGAAACATTGTGTTGCAAGCCTAAAACAGAAAACTCTATTGTGAACAATGTCATTAAAACCATTTAAAGAATGGCAAATATAAAAAGTACACAATTTACTTGTGTTATAATTTCTTTATATTATAAATGTATTGTTTACTTTTGCTGTTTGGTTACCAATCAACATATGTAACATTATGTAACCTCTTTCATTATAATTATGTCACCATTATATAAATTTTATTCACTAAACTTTAAACAACACCTTCGCATTGCCTATTGTGAATCAATATGACAGTGTTGTCGAGTTTTGTGCTATTGTTTCGATTGTGTGTAATTAGGTATATACAAGTAATTATCTGCATTATTACATAGAAATTTAAATACAAAATATCACTGCATCTAATATCTAAAAAAATATTTTGTGTTATCATAAGCTGATTGTTACCCGCAACACTTATCGTTTTTCGATATTTTTGGGGGATAATATCTGAGTACGGCAACATTGGACAAACAGCAGCAGCGAAGATGCGTGGAATCCGAGGAGCACAGTGATTGTGATTTTTCTTTCATTATTACATTGTTACTTTATTATTTTTGTAATACTTTATTTTCGCATAGTATAGTGATGTTTTTGGTGAAGTGACGGACGATTTTTTCATGCAATTAATGCAGAAAAATAATACTTACATACATAATAATAACTGTAACTGGACGAATTTAAAGTTCGTAAATGAGGTAAGTTGTTATGAAGTAATAAGGTGCGTTGAACATTTTCAGTGATTTGTAAAGTAATGCATATGAGTTGAGTTGCTTGTGCGTACTCTCGGTTAGAAGGATATCGAGAACGTGCAATTTGTTAAGTAAATATGAGCATGTAAACAGACGGGGTCAGGGTCGAATAGGCATACTTAATAATCCAGTTTTGCATTAAATCAAGAACAGACAAAAAATGAATAAAACACACGAATACGAAATGACATTGTAACAAGTACGGGTGCTTGAAGATTTTTATTGTTTGCTAGTAAAACGGAAATGGAGAAGGGGAATACAGACCGCGTTTTGTGTTTTGATGACCCTGGAATACATAAGGCGTATGTTCATACGCTTTGTGTTGTTCTTTTCTTGTTTACTTAATAAATCTTATTTATGAACGTGTATATGCGTATAAAAATAACAGCATAGGCTTATACATACGCGATTTCTTTTCATAATGAATCATTTTCAAACCGCATATAATATAATAATGGTAACGGCTACATAAGCTAATTGGCGCTGAAGCAGCTGAATCAAATGACAGAAATTTGCTTTTTCTTTTGCGACTTGAGTGTTTTTTTTTTTTTTTTTTTGGAAATTTCCCCTTTGTATTCTTACTTCATAAAGTGAGAACATGCGCTGTCGACGTAATGGGGTCAGTAGCATTTTCTTTGAACGCAGAAGCAGATGAGTTTCTATACCGAAGGGGGTGATAAATCCGGCGCCAACCGCTTTAAACCGCAATTTTAATAAGTGATGTCTTGTTGGTGTTGTCGATAAATGTGCGTATATGACTTGAACAAGTAGAATATACAAACTCACCACATAAAAATAGTAAAATGTTTCGATTATCAATTTAGAGGAATTGATTGCAAGGAAATAAAAAAATAGTTCTGTATGCGCATAGTATACATAGCTTAAGTGTTTATAACTTTGTGATGTGAATATAAAATTCCGTATCGTTAAATAATAAAGCAGGGTCACATTGGCATCATCAATTAGGAAAATAATGTTTAAAGTTTTGTCTACGTTGGAGTACTGGCTGATCCAAAAGAAGTATTGTTCATATATGTGTACATATTTTTTATTGTTGTTTAGCAAAAGCAAATCAATTATTTTTCATAATTGATGCACTGCAAAATAGTTTATCAATTAATTTTTAAGGGGATTCAATGATGTAATTGTACATAGTTTGCAAATGATAACACTAGCACGTTGACGTTATCAACATTCAAATTGGCCCCAACAACAGGCACTCAATCATAGCAATTTTATATAAATACACATATACATACATATGTATATAAGAAGGCATATAGCCGGATAAAAATTATAAGATAAAACATGAATCAATATTTCCTCCAATGTATAACTATTTTTACTTTTTATTTTATTTTTTTGAAATAGATATTCTTTCGCTTTATGTATTATTGACTGCTTTTTGTAAGTGGGTGTTTTCAAAAAAATTGTATGAACATTATCAGATAAGAAAACATACAGAGCAGATAAATGTAGTTTAATTATTTTTATCATATAACTAAATGACATTATTTTACGAAACTTTGTTAGGCTACAATGCACTCTGCTATTCAAGTTATACCATATATAAACAGTGTGTTCATTATACCCTGAACAGGGTGTAATAAGTTTGCTACGATGTTTGTAACACCCAAAAGGAAACGTAGTAGACACTAAAGTGTGTATGTTTATGTATTAATGATCAGCTGAGTCGATCCGTCCGTCCATGATATCAACACGAAATTTTGCACACTTCTTTTCCTCTCCAAAAAGCTGCTAATATCTCAAAAACTGAGGGGCTGGTTCGTGTATATACAGACGGACTTTGCTAAATCGACCCAGTTCGTCACGCTGATCTTTTATATTATATATAAATATATATTTAATAGGGTCTCCTACGTTTTCTTCTTGGTGTCACAAACTTTGTGGCAATCCTAATATACTCTGCTCAGGGTATAAAATCCCTAATACTATAAAACCGATTAAAATTGTTTTTAATTATTATGAATCGATCACTTAGTTTTTAATAACGTACCATGTACTTCAATATTTGTCTGTGCTTATCTTGGTTTCTTTGCCATTGATCGCAAATCAGTTTTACTATCGAACAGTAATTACAGCAAAGCAACAATGTACATACAAATGTTTGTTTAGATACAATAAGTTCCTATTAGAGAAGGGCGAGAGATTTTGATTCACTACATATTTCATTTTCCTAGAATTCCTTCTAAAAGTGAGAAATTAATCAGGGAATATATAATATGTAATTATAATTTAAAACAGTTCATATACATATGTACATATATTTATTTAATTTAATTAATATTCATCTTGCAATATTAAATTATTTATTATGTATACACTCATACTCATACATTACATATCTAAAGATGAACCGAATCTACCATATAAATATATGTATGTATGTATTTATATACATCAAAATTTGACAAACAAAGGGGTCGGTGGAATCGGAACTGAATATAGACACTGGCGTCTTCCTCTAATGCATTTACACACATATATTTGTATGTATGTGCACACAGACGGAAACTCGTTACTTTTTACAAGAAACAAATTTCAGTGCCGCATACATACATATGTATGTATGAATATGCATGCATATATTGCCCTAACTAATAATTAAGGAATATTTACAAAGTTTCTAGCACTTATAGAAGTCCATTTCTCATTAACCTTGATCAATTTAATTTCTGACTTATTGACATATTTTTATTTTCAACTATACATGCAATTGAAATAAAAATTAAATATTTTGTTTTCATTTTTTATCAAGAAATTAAATAACGCGCTGAGAATTAAAAAATGTTAGTTTGGCGGTCGTTTACATGAAACTACATGACAAAATACTCAGAACTGAATCTATTTAAAAACGCTTAGTTATTAATTATTTTCTTTCTTACATAAAATTATATTTGCATTTAAATTAAATGTACTTTATTACAATTTTTTAGATAATGGCAAGAGAAGACGTATCTGTGACTAAAAAGCAGAATTCTAACGCAGATTGCAATAAATTGAAAGTTAACGGAGCTACCGAATCATGTGATAAAGCAGGTAATTTCGCTTCAAATATATGGTATATGTACATACACAGGTATATCTGTATGAAAATAACACCAAGCTTATATTGACTTAATTAATGTTTGTTCAATATCAATTTTTATAACAAACAAATAATTGCTTTTCAAAACAACTTAATTATTTTTTTTATGTAAGCTGCACAATTTCATATAATATGTTTGTATGTACATATTAAAATGTGCCGCTTTTTATATTAGGTGTAGTAAAAAGAAATCTATTATTTTTGATTGAAATTGAATGCTTTAATTATTACTTTTCGTACCCAGCCTTATTCAAATGGTTCCAAACGGGCTTTTGTGTAATGTTTAGATCCTAAACAATCGTAATCGATGTTTGGACTCGGCGATTTCCATTATTTGAACGATTTTTTTGATAATTGGTCTTCCAGAGCGTGGTGCGTCTTTGACAACGAAATTACCGGAACGGAATCGACGAAACCAAAATTGCGCATAATTGTATCAAGACCATAAACGCTATTGACATTTTCAGCCGCCTGGCTAGCGTTTTCGCTCTTATCGAAGAAAAAGTTTGCTAGTGTCCATCTTTGACGCGCGTTCAAACAAAACTGAATCAACCATCACAAAACTATCAGAAAAGCTTTTTTAGTACGAAATGTCATTTTTCTAATGCCATCTAGCCGAACCCGATTGGACTTCTACAACGCGAGATACAGATAAATAACGCCATCTATTGGAAAAATGATGGATTTCTTTTTACTACACCTAATATATTACAAAAAATCACCTACCATTAATATTTCATTGACATTTATTTAATTATATTTGCAGTTAGTTTATTGGATACCAAACCAAATGTAGACAATAGTGAATATGACTTGGTTCCACCGGATGGAGGTTGGGGTTGGCTGGTATTACTTGGATCCATGATGGTCAATATACTTATACCGGGTACCATTAAGAGTTTTGGTGTATTATTTGTTGAGTTTTTGGAAGCATTCGAAGCGTCCCCGGCGACAGGAGCATGGATACCCGCTCTTTGTTATTTCCTATATAGTTCGTTAGGTTAGAAAAGTGTTTAATTTTTTCCATAGATATACATTTTTTTAATATCTAAAAGTTTGATATTTCATTTTGAGCTAACCAATTGCAGGTCCCGTCTCCAGTATATTATCTGTTAAGTATTCATATCGAACAGTAACGATAATGGGTGGTGCTTCAGCGGCATTTGGTATGATCGCGTCTTTTTGGGCCTCATCTGTAGCATATTTGTACTTAAGGTAAATGAACGAGATTTTCATGGATGCGTTAATTAGAGTTAAAACAAACACCCCATAGTTATGGAGTTCTCGTGGGGATTGGTGCCGGTCTATCTTTTCCGCCAACTGTGTATATAGTGACGTCATACTTTGTTAGACTACGTGGACTAGCCAATGGACTTTGCATATCGGGCAGCGCGCTTGGATCCATTATATTACCACCAGTATTGCGTTGGCTACTCGAAAATTATGGATATAGGTAAATTACTATATATAATAATATTTATATTCTAAACAGGGTATATAAAGTTTTCCACGAAATTTGTAACACCCCGTAGTAAAAGGCGGAGACTATAAAATATATGTATGTATATTTAATATAAATTATGAGTCGATTTAGCTATGTCCGTCTGTCCATCTGTATATATATACGCGAACTAGTCTCTCAGTGTTTGATATATCATTCTGAAATTTTGCACTCGTCCTTTTCTTCCCAAAACTGCATTTTTGACGGAACTGCCAATATCGGACCACTATAGTATATAGCTGGCATACAAACTGAACAATCCAAGACATGTCCTTGTTTGGAAAACTTTTTTATTTGATGCGACATTTTTCACAAATTATTGTCCAAGGCAACAGTACAATTTCCGAAGAAAGAAGGTTCAGAATATAGATTACTATAGCATATAGCTGCCATACAAGAAATACACCTGCGAAGGGTATTATAGCTTCGCTGCAGCCGAAATTAATATGTTTTCTTGTTCTTATTTCATTTACACATGCCAAATTCAAATATATTACTTTTTTTTATTCTCTCATATTGCAGAGGTGCAGTTCTTATAATGGGTGGTATAACGTTAAATGTATTTGTTGCCGCCATATTTTATGAGCCCGTGGAACAACATATGATTCGAGTACCTAAAAACAAGAATGCCCTTGAAGATATCGAAGAGGAAGATATTGGCATCGTATTGAAGTTTGAAACCGTAGACGAAGCTGGCTCTATAAATAACGACGTGCAATCTCATGATGGTTGTAGCGATGTGGGTACAAAACCATTTCCGCCATACAGTCCACCAGCACTTTTGGAGGACAATCAATTCGTGCGCAGCGCATCAGCTGCGGTAGTACAAAATTGCAGTAAGCACCAAGATGAATATGCACCAACCTCACGCACACGAAAAATTAGCACACCCGTCCGCTTGCCACAACGCAATCAAACATTTACGCCCGGCCAATTGAATTCACAATCATCGTTATATGCTGTGCCAGAGGGCGGTCGTTCCAGCCATAAACTCGATCGTCTCCATGCTTTACGCAACAATTCTAAAAATCGTCTTTCGCGACGTTCGCCTTCCACGAGTAGTTTTCAGTATGTAAGTACACCATACCACGGCAGCACATTGTCCTTTCAGCCGAAAGAGTTTTCATCACACCTATCGTTGCGTTCGATGGGTAGTAGCACTGGCGCAGCAGCTAGTGAAAGTTTAATGGGTGACGTTGTTGGCGATAAGGGCGAACCCAAAACGTCTACACGCTCAAAATTCTTCGATCTCAGCCTATTAAAGGATCCTACTTATTTGGTTATACTAATATCGAATTCAACAAATGCCATTGGTTACACCAATTTTATTATATTGCTGCCAGCTTACGGTGTAGCATTAGGCTTTAATAAATCGCTATCAGCATACCTGATTTCAATTGTTTCGGCTACGGATCTTATTGGACGTATTGGTGGATCGGCCCTTTCGGATCTCGGCCTAATACCAAAGACATGGTACTTCATTGGAGGCCTTGCAATTTCCGGTTTATCGCTAGCGCTTTTACCATTCGCCACCACTTATGGTATGCTAAGTTTTTGGTGTGCCGTTTTTGGTCTCGCATCTGGTATATATGTCGGCATCACTGCTGTTATAATGGCTGATATGTTGGGTGAAGAGCGTTTAACATCATCCTATGGCATTAGCTTATTTGTAAATGGAATATTGCAATTGATTGGACCACCACTATGTGGCGTTTGGTATGAAGCAGTTATGGACTATAGTCCACTGTTTCATACATTGGGACTAACGTTATTGTGTGGCGCCAGCCTTTGGAGTTTCATGCCATTTATTAATAGACAAAAAGCCAAAGAAGAAAAATTGAGACAAGCACAATGCGACAACGAGGCGCATTAATTGTATTTTTCATATACAGAACTGCGTTTTTTTCTACTAAATGCATTCTTATTTACTTAAATTTAAAAGTAATATTCGCGAATAGTTAATAAAGTAAATATTTTGTATACAAGAAATCCTTAGTTTTTTTGAGTTGACAGTGTGGCTGGCATAGATGGTATTTTATATTTGAATATCTTTTCTTTAAGAATAGACATAAGATTTAAGATACAATGACCCCTATTATAAGTAGTATTCGAACGACGAACTTTAAGTAATCATGGCAATGCTTTCTGTTTGTGGTATTGTCTTAAACGGTTTTTGTAACCTTAATAACCATATGGGGTAGTTCAAAACTAAAGTCACCCACAACAGATAACAAAGAAAGAGCATTAAGGCGCAGATTCGAGCCCACAACTCACCGAGTGATTACCATGTACACAATTACTTAATTAATGCGTTCACTCAAAAATTGGATTCATCATTTTATTTAAGATGCCACTTTTTAATACTCCTTATATTTCTACCTTATATCCGAAACTAGTTCTTCAGTTTTTGTGATATCGATCTGAAATTTCTCACACGTTCTTTTCCCCCCAAGAAGCTATTTATTTGTCGGAACTGCCGATTTCGGACCACTATAGCATATAGCTGTCATACAAACATAGCGAGCAAAATCAAATCTATGTATTGAAAAATTTATTTGACCAAATATCTTAAACGAAATTTGTCATAGATTATTATTTGCCAAATTATCTTCACGAAATTTTTCATAGATAACTGTTCAAAGCAACGTTTTAATCTCCGACCGAGCTCACCGATCAAGATTAAGATAAATATCTTTATAAAAGACATTTTTTATACTCTTGCAACATGTATGTATGTATGTATATACGCACGTGCCAGCAGTACCTTGAGTAAAAATTAAGATATCTTAAAACTTGGTATACATGTTTCTTGGCATCATAAGAAGTTCGATATTGTAGATGGGGTCGGACCACTGCAACGCTCACAAAACGCCATTAAAAGAAAACCTATCAAGTGCCATAACTAAGCTCCACAATAAGATAAGAGTCAGAAAAACAAATTGCATTGGGTTAGGGGCATCTATGGTTGAAATTTTTTTTTAAAAGTGGGCGTCCCGTAATAAGTTGAATGTATATATCTCCTAAACCGTTCGAGCCATTTGCACAAAATGCATATTTTTGACTTTTTTTTTTGACAGTGTGGAATGGATGAAATCGAATGATAACCCGACCGACTCCCCATATAACGGTTTTGTTAAAAACTACTAAAAGTACCATAAATAGATTTTAGTATAATTTTCGTTGACGAGAAGTAAAATAGTTATAAAACCAAGAGAGGCTATGAACTTTAAAATAAGTTAATAGGATATCAAATTTGATCAATTTATTCACCATTTCGTCGCACAATGAAGTTGAACCTTTTCGCTACATTTCTTAATATAAAGTTTTGCCAACACCTAAAGGTATTTCCCCGGATTTGATGTTGTTACGTTTCCAGTTTTAGTTTATATGCTATAAGAAAAGGACATTAAGGCTTCGGCGCAGCTGAAGTTAACGTTTTTTCTTGTTTCGATTTAAAAAATATGTATATATTCGAATAATGTTTTTTTTTGTATTTAATTCTCAGTTTTAAGTAACGGTTTATTAGGCTGAGGTGAAAAACCTTTACTTTCTTAAAAAGCGTGTAAAAAATAATGATTTTAGCTTAAGATTTTTTATATTATTTGTCATTATTATACTTGCAGATATTTCTGTTGGTTTTTATTTTATTTATTATAACAAAAGAATTTAACATGCGTTTAATAGTTTCTAAAAATAAGGCAATTTTTTTTATTTCGACAATTTGATATGTGTAAAATAATACGTTTGCGTACAATGTGTTCAGCAAAACGAATAAAAAGTGTAAATGTATGCATGTTTATATATTTTGTTTGCTTTGATCATAATATTATACAAGTTATCATATGTATTGCTGTTAGTGTGTTAGTATTAAAAACAAAATATTTTCGTTTGTATTTTATATTTTTGGTGGCTTCATATAACCCTTCGAACGCATGAATCGTACAATAAATGGAGTGGCACCCAATGTAATGCTTATTCGCACGGGTGCAAATACTTTGTGTATAGCATATGCAATAACAAACGTGCTTGCACCTGTTGTTATTTTATTCGTTAGCGCTGACGATGCAAAACCCAGCCGCTCCAGTAATGGCACAATATCTATTCCTCTGCAAGAAAACAAAAAGCAACAGTAATTAATTTGATATATCTACATATGTACATATGTCTATGAACACATTGTCATTAGATCAAATTTCCCAACGTAGGATTAATGGAGTGTTTACAATATAATAAATGTGTATGTACACTACATATGTATATAGGCTCTTAAATTTTAACATTTGTGAACGTAAATTAAATGATATTCTTAATTGTGAAAACTACGCGTTTCACTCGAAGGCAATTAAGCACTTTTTCAGCTGTTACTTATACATACGTACAAACAAAGCATGCAATCGTAGTATATCGTTGGCGTTGTTATTAGAGAATTAATGAACGTTATAAAAAATCACTTTACATTCTGTTTAAGAATTTAGATTCAGTAGAATTTAAATTTATCGTTTGTGAAACCGAAAAATATGTATATGTTCACATTTATCAATCAAAATAAAAATATATATTTTTTTATTTAATAGTGTGACATAAAAAAAACTACCGAACATATAAACAACAAGTATTTTACAATAATTTAGTTTCAATCCGGTTAATTGGACAGGGTTTCACACATTTATTTCAATTTCAATAAATAGTTAGAACTAACTAAATATTCTATTTATCAAAACCATTCTAATATTATAAATGTGAATGTAAGTTTGTTTGTTACGCTGTCACACCATAAACTTAATTGTACACAGATTCCCAGTGGCATGAGAAAGGACATGGGATAATTATTATTAACAAAAATAATATTTTTTACGAATTGTGAAAAAAATTATGTGGCAGATCATACCTGTTGGTAAAAACAATGTAAAAAAGTTGAAAAACTTAATTTTGCTGATATGATTGTTTGTCCAAAAATTCCAAAATGCATCATAAGTGTAAATTAGACAAAATTAGGGTTTTCTGGTTACAATGTCAACCACGAAAATGATCATCACGGTATAATATAAATACTGTGTATTTATTTTTTTGGTTTTGTTAATATTCGTTGATATTTATTTAAAGGATTCAATGCGAGCGAAAGTTACGAGTTATATAAATATAGCGAAAAAATAGGTATTTGGAAAAAAATGATTTAAAACCAAACTGATTTTGAAAATAAAAAAAAGCGTTAACATCGGCTGCATCAAAGCTATAATACCCTTCACAGTTGCATTTTTATAGCAAATTTTCTGAAGTTTAAATATGAAAAATTTAATTTTCAATTCCAAACATCTAGATTAAAAATAGCAAAAAATATTTTATCCAAGATGGAATTCAAAATTGAAAATATAAATCAATCAAAATGTTTGAATTTTAAAATTAGCTACCCTGATATCGGGTCAACTATTTGGTACGGACCAAAATTATGTGAGAAAATATTTTGCCGCTGCAAACGACAACAACACAATCTAATTGAATTTAGGTAATAATATAACTAGCTAATCATGTAATCAGGTTAAGATTATAAAACTATAATGACATGCATTAACAGTCACAAATAAAAACAAACACCACTCATAACCATAAGCAAATGATATATGATAATCAACGTGTGCAATTATGAAAGTACCCGCAACCCGATTGTTTTTATTGCTTACCCAGAAACTAGTAAATAACAGCAGCCAAGTGATGCTAATGATATAGCTACATGAAATACTATAACAGTGGATCCATAGTCTTTAAATGCCTTTTTAAGTTGCTCTTTTTTACTCAGCACCGCCGGTGATTTATCTCCATCAGTTTGCGTACTATAATAACGTTTGACTGTCTGGCTTGGCGTTAATTTTTGAATTGAAAGTGTTGTTGCTGTTGGAATTAACGTGCAATGTCGCATTTGCTATTAGACTATATTAAATTGACGGAATGAGTTCAGCGCGAAGAATGCTCAATAATTTCAAATATTCATACTGCTTACTCTTGTATAGCTACATACATTCACACATGCAATAAATTTTCGCATTTCATTGAAATGGCATACCTTTTTTATTGATGTCAAAATCCTGATCATAAGTCATCCAGTCTGAACGCACATCCTTACGCAAATTAGTGTAATGGGAAGTATGTAAGTTGTTCGACATGAATTTACCCTCTTGTGACCACTGACCGCCTGGCATATTTAAATGCGAGAATTTATGCATTCCACCATATGGATTTGGCACGTTGCTTTGCATCACAGCATTAAGGCTAACTGCCCCAAAGCAATCATATGATTGTACATGAGGATCTTGTGCGTCATAGCCAGTATTTGGAGCGGTTGTTGCTGTATTTGTGTTATCAGCAGTGACGTCTATGTTGGACAAAACAGATTGGGCTTGTTGTGATAGTATCACAGGACCAGTTATATCTCTTGTACGATTTGGTGAGAAGCGTGTAGTCTCAGCTGGATCGATGTTATTAGGCAAAGGTAACACAGCAACACGTGTCTTATTCGGGCGTGCAGCAGTTGTATGCAACGGCTTTATCGCAGAAAAATCTGAAATTTGATTTGTTTTGTAAGTTATCGTTATTTGCAATTTGTTTTGATTTCAGAACAAAAAAAAAAAATTAATTGAATACTCGTAAAGACACTATATTCATTAACGTAATATATTTAGTAAGTACAATATATTTCAACATGCAACTACACAGTATCTTAAGAAATAAAGAATTTTTTGTTTCCAAATGCTTCCCATTGTATTGTGTCTTTTGCTTTGTACTACAGTTCTCCACATTTCTATACCCACATAATTGTGAATTTGTATATGTATTTTAAAAAATTAGTAGTGTATTTTTTATCTATGAATAAACATTGCAATGCCCTCGAATTTATTAAAAATATTAGCCAGATGTTTTCATACACCTAGTTTTACCGCAGATTTTGTCTTTACAGGAAAATAATTTTTCATGCTATATACATGTACCTATATATACATATGTATATGTATATCTATATATGTATTATTTAAGACGCAATTTCCCTTTGCATGTACGTAAATTCCATTAGGTCATTGACTTCGAATATTATTCTTTATTTTTATGCTTTTTCGACATGGCTCTGTATTGTTTTTTCAATAATTTACTTACCCCCTTTCTTGGGGTCTTGTCGGTAAAAATTTGCAGTTATATGGAGCACATTTCTAACATGTTCCTGAAAGTGAAGTGAGGATCCATTCATATTGACTTGATAAAACCATTAAAAGGTATTTGTTGTAAAAAATATAGGTATTATTAAGTGTATACAAATTTAATAATTGAATTGAAACTAAATACTTTTATATTATATTATATATATTTCGATTTTATTCTCTCAGCACATTTATATGTTCCCATATTCACTCCAAAATATGTATGTATATTATTGTATAGCCAGCGGACGGGTTATAAGTATTTACATTTTGATTATAATGTCCTTGAAATTTGTAAAGCAATTAACCGGCTAATTATTTCTTTTACTTACTTAAAACGTCATTTATATCTCTTCTATAGCACAATGGATTGATTGTGCCAATACGACTTGCAGAAATAAAAACATTCTTTGTATTATTAAACATTTTTAACTTTCCTCCGTAAATATTATTAAAGATGAGAATTTATTATTAAACTGAGTACAAATTCCACAACCCAATCAAAATATTTGACATTTTGACATATGTGCATTTTTATGCATATATTGCCATATTTCAAAATATTTTTATAAAAGAAGAAATCAAAACCCCATATCTATTTTATAACTTTATTGCAGAGAATTCTCTGTTTATAGTTCTATTCGCGTAAATTTATTTAATGTGCCAAGTTTTAAATTATTGATTAACTTATCTCAATTTTCAAATAATATAATTCATGGCATCAACTAACCCATACAAGGTTTTGCACCTGCAATTAATTAAAAACTCCCCAAATAATTGGAAATTTTCTTATAATTTAATATCTATATCATATAAAAAGAATTGTTTTTATTTACGAATTGCATTTTATATCTCAACCAGAGAACTTACTTCATTTACATTCTCTGTCTCAACAACTAATTTTCCGCATTGCTTTTGTTAATATTCACCACAAGATGTCGCCTAAAATGACACATCGTCAGATGTCTCTGTTTTCGTTAGTAGGGTCGAGACAGGGATAAAAGTGAAATTTAGTGCAACTACGAAAATTGTTTTGATGTACGAAAAAACAATAAACTTGCCCTCGTCAAATTTTATATATTCACTTGTGTATGCTTTTTAGGAAAGTGCGTTTCGTTTCTAATCAGTTAACAAAATCGTAAACATTTACCAATACTTCATTGCTCCGGAATAAGGGCTGCTGCAGCAAAAAGCAGCAGCAGCTTAGCGGGATTGTGATTAGTTAATGCTAAAGGAGGCTGCTTGGATGCAAGGCGATATCATTGTGTTGAAATGTTTGCAATTAATAAGCAAAATATTTAAATGTAAGGGTTTTATCCCGAAACTTTGGGGAACAAATATAAGGTAGCTTAATTAAGAAGAGGCGATTCGGGAACGGCCTTGCCCCGCCCTATATACACAAGATGGGTGGTGACGCAGCGATTCGTCGCAGCGCTACGCTAACATCAACGCACAATGAAATGGGAACAATGGCACATTTGATGGAAGGACAACGTGACTCTGAACCGTACAGTACAAGTAGCCAGGGTAATGGACTTGCGGCGTCAAGATTTGCTTGCCTTCGTTGCTGTGGAAAATTCATTTCGTATCTTGTACGTTTACGCAACACACCTGAAGAATTGGAACAACGGTATAAATCTCGGGAGATCGACAAATTTTTGGAAAAAGAAAAGCACACATTTCGCCGTCAGGTAAATAATGCATTTATATACAGTGTATTTACATATACGTATCTAAACTTATACAGATACACGTATGCATGTTAATTGAACAATTGTATATGCATTAACATAAATATTGTATAAAACACATATATATATCTTACATATATTTTAGGTAAAGCTTCTGCTTCTGGGGGCTGGTGAATCAGGAAAATCGACTTTCCTCAAACAAATGCGTATAATACACGGTATTAATTTTGAACCCGAACTAATCCGCGAATACCAATATGTGATATATCAAAACGTACTTCGAGGTATGCATACCGTAATTTTTGTATTTTGATTAATTTGTTATTAGAAGTTCTGATATATACATACTTCTACAGGAATGCAAGTATTGATTGACGCACGGCAGAAATTAGAAATCCCTTGGGAAAACAACGAAAGAGAAAACGACGCAAATTACGCCAAATTAATTGAATGTAGTAATGTAGAAATTGATAATTTTATACAGTGGTCTCCGTACATTCGGAGACTATGGCAAGATCGTGGTATAAGGCGTGCCTATGAAAGGAGAAGAGAATTTCAAATTGTAAGAAAATATATTAAGAAAAGTAAAAGAAAAAAAATTTACATTTACATATGCTTTTCAGAGTGATTCTGTCAGTTACTTTCTAAATGATGTTGACCGCCTTTCTACATATGATTATGTGCCAACCCACAAAGATATTTTGCATTGTCGGAAAGCAACCAAAGGGGTTTATGAATTTTGTGTAAAAATACAAGTAAGTAATCATTTCATATATTATAAACTATTTTGTTCTGAAACTCTTCATTAAATTGTGATTCTTCGTCAAACTAAATATTACAATAAGCTGTCTTCATACTGTGAACAGGATATATTAAGTTTGCCACGAAGTTTGAAATACTCAGAAGTATACGCGAACTAGTCCCTCAACTTTTGAGATATCGACCTGAAACTTTTTATACATGCTTTTCCCTCTAAGAAGCTGTTCATTTGTTGAAACCGAATGATCCATATTATGCCCTTGTATAGAAAATTATTTTATTTGGCAAGGCAGCAGTACAATATCCATAAAAACACCTACATACTTGTATATTATAAACGCATTAATTAAATTTGACTTCCTTTGCAAAATTTCTTTACCCAAACAGCATTTGTTGAACATTTCTTTTTACACGGTTAAAATCTCAATATCGCTCCTATATTATAAACGCCTGAATATAAACAAATACATTATTTAACTAATTTTTAGTAGTTTAAGTAAATTTAAATTAACACTAGGTTGCGAATTTCTTATCTAAAATTTTATGGCTTAAAAAGTAAATTCTCAATATTTAATCCCAAAATCTGAATAAAAAATTGTTAAACTATTTTTAAATTAAAAAATTGTAAAAAGTAAATATAGACCAGGGAAAACACCTTTTGAAGACTAAAAAAAATCATAGTTGGATGAAACCCATCGGAAACGAAAGATAAAATAACAATCATTAAGGGAAAAATAATTTACGGGCGATGTGTGGTCGGGAAAAGGAAGTAGAAGGGCAGGGTTGAATTTTTATACACTAGATTAAAAATGGTTTAGCAAAAGTTTAGTTTATAAAAAATTTGGTTCTTTCACGAAATTTGATGTAAACTTACTTTCTTATGTCCCATACACATTGTATTTTTTTAATTTAAAATATTTATTTCTTTCTCCTTTATTGACTTAATATCTAAAAAAAACTCTGATTTGCAATCAAAAAATCTCAAGTCGAAATTTCAGATTTGTTTAAAAAGTCAGTAAGCTTAAAATTTATTAAAATCTCTAGTTTCTGATGGTATAAAACATACATACATTACTATGGAAGGTTTTCTCGGAAAAAGAAGACCCCACAAAATTCAAACCTGCTTTTTTTTGCTACTGCTACTACGAAGTAGATAGGTAGATGAATTAAAAAATTCAGTTTTGAATCGTTTTTTTAGCTGTTTAGCGGGGTCTTTTTTTGCGTTTACTGAGAAAAAGAAAATATTTCAATTAAAAAAAAATACAGTGTGTTTGGGACATTAGAAGGTAAGTTTACACCCAAAAACTGGGTTATTTGAATATTTCACATAAAAAGTATGTACACAAAAGTTATAGATCTTTGCATTACCTACAACACTGCCATATAACTTTATATATATATACCGTTTTTAACACTTTAAAATTCAACCACACCCCTATGCTTCCGCTTTTCGACCTCAGTTCGCCCGTAAATTATTTTTCTTTTAATGTTTGTAATTTTATCTTTCGTTTCCTGGCTTTCAATCTACTACGATTTTCTTTCTTTTTTTTATCATTTTCAAAGGCTTCTGCATTAATCTAATTAATAGAAGAGGAATAAATATAAAATATTAACATATATATATATATACATATTTATCAACTATGTTGATATTTTATTGAAAGTAAGCTATCATTTTTAAAAGATAACCAAAATGGTAGAACACGACCTACGCAAATGCAAAATAATTTAAAATTCATTTTTAATTTTTAAATATTTACTTTGGGTCAACATTTTCTTTATCTTTCAATCAAATATTAGCTTTTTAATCCGAAATTCAATATTTTCTATTTGTAATTATTAACTTTGGATAAAGATTTATTTTTATTTTTTTTTTGGAATATTTATATAATTGTGATTAGAAATTTGAAAATTATTTTTAATTAAGATGTTAATTCAATTATTTTTTTATTGCATTATTTGCAATACGGTATTAAATAGCAAATCTTTCCTTTTAGAACATTCCATTTGTGTTTGTTGATGTTGGTGGCCAGCGTACTCAACGACAAAAGTGGACAAAATGTTTTGATTCATCAGTAACATCGATCATTTTCTTAGTCTCCAGTTCAGAGTTTGATCAAGTCCTCGCTGAAGATAGGTAATGTATTAATTCAAGGAAAATTTGTAGCTATTTCCTAAACTTTTATTTTAATAAATAGAAAAACCAACCGATTGGAGGAATCGAAAAACATATTCGACACGATCGTGAATAATAATACGTTTAAGGGAATATCAATAATACTATTTCTAAACAAAACTGATTTGCTTGAGCAAAAAGTACGCAATCCAGAGACTGATATCCGCTGGTATTATCCCCAATTCAGCGGGAACCCACATTCACTGCTCGATGTGCAAAATTTTACATTGCAAATGTTTATGAGTGTGCACAAAAGTCCACAAAGCCGCATCTATCACCACTTCACCACTGCCATAGACACACGAAATATGAAAGTTGTATTTAATTCAGTCAAAGATACAATATTACAGCGAAACTTGAATGCTTTGATGTTACAATGAAAAAGGAGCAGCTAGTTGAGTGTCCTAGTAACCCTCATGTTGTGGGCATATTTACATCACCACAGTCGAGGAAGATTTAAATAACATATGCCAAGGAAAAACAATAAACTCGAAATGCATGTATGCTTATAATTTGCATATATATATTTATTTGTTACATTGGTGTAATAAAGAAAAAATAACTCCAAAATCCATTTAAAGTGCATTTTTCAAAAAGTGCAACGAAAAAGGGCTAATACATACATATATATCAGTGTAAATTATTTTAATGTACATATATAAATTGTTTTGAATATTTATACGTTTATATTTACCGTATATATGAATCAAATGTATTCATAAAATTTATAAATACACTGTATTTATATACTATATTTATATTTTAATTATATTTTTGCATAATGTGTAAAGAATAACATATTTGTTAATATTGAAGTGGACGGTATTATTGAGGAATAGCACAAAACATCAGTATAAAGAATAAGCAATAAATGCGAACTATCTATCGCAATTTATATAAAACATACATACACAAAGTTATATATATATATATAAACATATAAATCTATAATAGTTTGGACGTAACAGATTTTACAAATTTTCTACTAACATTTACGCATATAAAATATATATTTTTATATAAATATTCATAAAACAGAAAAGTAATATTATCCACACCTCTTTAACAAATTAACTATTCAACCAAGGTTTATTGTGATCCATGTATTTTATCGCTTTACAAATCGATCAAATAAATTGTCCCTTTAATATTTAAAAATAAAATATATATAAAACTAAGGCATCGAAATGTATGTGTGCATTTTAATTATATATGAAGGGATGAGAACTCCATATAAGTTGAAAACAAGTAAGAATGGGCTATGTTCGGGTTTAACCGAACATTTCATACTCTTGCTACTTGCAATGATCAAAGCAGGAGAAATAACTTCCAGTATTGCCAAAACTTCATATTAAAAAATGTTGCGAAAGAATTCAACATTCATTATTCGACGAAATCATCATTATTCACCATCAAATTTGGTATTTTATTAAGTTATATTATAGGTCATAGACTCAATTAGTTTTAAAACTATATTTTACTTCCCGTCAGAGTAAACTGAGAGTATTAAAATCATCCTCAAATGAGATATACTCGTACTTAACATGAACTTTACCGAAGAGGGTAAATTTAATAATTAACGTGCAAAACTTCAAGCAGAAAATTAGAATTGATGATATTAGGGATATGAGATAAAGACCAAGGTCAAGACCAAGTCCATTCATGTTGATTACTAAACCATTAATATAGTAAGTTTGTTAAAAAAAAATTGTTATATGTTGTATAATATAATTTCACATATTTTCGACATTAATCTAAAGTATATACATATATTCCATATTATACGTTCATTTAATTTTGCTAAGATATCTTACATATTGATCGATAAATACGGTATAAAGCAAACTGGAAGTTTGAAAATATTTTATTAGGTATACGGGAGATAGGTGTAGTATTGACCCAATTTTATCTAGTTTTGGCATTACTATTTACATATTATTAACAGAAACAGATGTTTCATTAAGGTACCTTGCATATCATCAACAATTTTTAAGGAATAAAGTAAACCCGATGTTTGAAAATCTTGATATTAGTTATATGAGGGTTAGAGCAAGTTTAGGCACACAGATGAACTGATAGGAGAAAAATACGCCCGCTCAATTTTATTAAGATTACTCACATATTGGCCGATATATGGTATATAACATAAAGTCAGCCGGAAGTTTAAACATCTTTCTTTAGTTGTTAAAAGAAGTATTGTCCCGATTCAATCCATTTTTGATATAGAGACATAATATTGTCAGAAAAGGTCTCTCCCCGAATTCCAATTATATATCTCATATATTGAACGATAATTTCGATAAAACGTTCGCAATAGGAACTGGGGTTGTTGTAGCGGCAGAATTCTGCCAAGTTGACAGTCCTTGGCCGGATAAAAATCCGGTCCGTTCCGATTAAGTAGACAGTCGGGTGTGGGAACTGGGGTCCACATATTCGGTATTTTGTTCGATTTGATCATAAGGTGGCACACTTCAAGGGTACTATTCGTGCAAAGATTTATTCCGTTATATTCGTTGATGCTTGATTTGTATACTGAAAAGTGAAATAATCATATGGAATTTAAAATTGTGTTATATCGGAAGTAGGTTGTAGTCGGATTTTGCCCATTTTTGCACTGTAACATAAGAATATCAGAATAAAGTTGTCTGCTGAATTCAAATCGGTTGAGTAGGTCCCGAGATATAGGTTTTCACCTAAATGTGGGCGGTGGTATGCCCAACGTTCAATTGTAAGAATTGTCTCTGACACATTTATTTATAAATTTATCGCATTTTAAGTAATTTTTAATAAAACCGTTATATGAGGAGAGGGCGAGATGATTATCTGCTAAAAATATATCTATATCTTACTCGATTAGTTTAAGGTGATACAAACAATCTGAACAGGGTATACTAAGTTTGTACCATTCAAAAGGAAACGTCTGAGAGCGTATAAAATATACATATAAATGGTCAGCGCGTCTAGCTGAGGCGATTTAGCCACGTCCGTTTGTCTGTCCGTCTTTTGAGATATCGATCGTTCTTTTCTTCACAAGAAGCTGCTCTTTTGTCGGTACCACCTAAACTATTTTGTTTGACAAGATATCTACACAAAGTTTGGTACGACTTATTCAAGGTTACGGTACAATCTCCGAACAAATTGTTCAGATGGGGCCACTATAGCATATAGCTATCATACAAACTGAACGATCACAATTAAGATCTTGTATGAATTTTTTTTTATTATTGAAGGATATTATAGCTTTAATGAACTCAGACTCAGGCTTATATTTTTCTATTGCAGATTTTGCAATCTTTTATGCTTGCATATTTACAGAAACATATTGAGTTGCTTATTGATGGAACATCGTATAAGCGAACAGTGGGCGACAATCCCCAGCGATATAGGAGTGCAGTTGAAACTTTGTAATTTGAATACATTTATATTTGAACTTGTACTTTAACCACAGTACGAATAACTTATGCTGCTCCAACAACAATTATTATATAACAGCACAACGACGTGGGTTAATGTTAGTGAAAGGCCTATTACCACAGTAAAAATACATCGATTGCAATGACAGTATTACAACGGCAACACACAAATGAGTTTCCCATTATTCATAATTTATAACTGACATTCTTGTTCTTTTCATAAGTTAACTTTATTGTTTTCTTTATTAAATATCATTTTCTTTTTTTTTTTGAGTTTATAGTTTTGCAAAAAGAGATCCATTAGTGAATACATGAATGATTCTTTAATAATTGCACAAAATTTAAATTTTTGTTATACTAAAACATTTACATTTACATAATATAAACACATTTTTGTTTTTTTTTTTCTTTTACTACAAAATAAAAAAGTAGTAGTGTATAAAGTGGTGATGTGTATAAAATTATATTCATATATAATGTTATACTAGTTATCGTGCATTTAATATTTAATGTATAATTTACAAATTTTATAACATCATTTGTTACAAGCTAAAATTATATACTAAATTAAAATAGTTGGCTAACTCATATTTTTTGGCTGTAAACTATTTTTCTTCATTTTTGCTTAACATTACTGGGTTTTCACAGAAGCTTTAAATTCTATTTGTGATATTACCAATAATAATATAAGGCAAAATAGGTAAAAAACGAAATTAAATGCCCTAAGAATTATAATGTTCATTAAATATTTTTAAAATATTATCGAAACTTTTGACTTCTTAACTTTAGTTGAATTTGTTGTTTGTAATAATTATCTTACTATATTTCCGTTAATTTACTTAAAATAAATTGTTGATGTTATTTCATATGTTAAAAAAAACTGATATATTTTTATTAAAAACGGTAGTTTAACATTATTAAATTTTGAAAAAAAATTAATTATAAATAATTAATATAAAACCAAAAAATTTAGTAAAAAAAGAAATTTAATTTAACAATCTTTTAATGTTCTCCTATTCCGACGTTTTTCGTACTCAAATTGCATGCTTATAAAATTCTTGAACTTTCATTTTAGTTGGTATGATAAACTTTTGTGTAAAAATTTTAGGTTAGGTTTGTTAAAATTTTATTGTATACGCATCGATTTATGAAGTTTAATACGATATCCAAAAGACATACTTTTTCATTCTATCTTCTTCAAAATACATATTATTTATAACTAATCTTTTTTTATTTTGTGCGCGTCATTCTTTTTTAATTTTTATCATAATATTAATTTAAGAAAATACTAAAAATGTATATACTTAAATTTTACTAGCACCTTGGCAACTATAAATTAAATTCTTGAACTTAATTGGAGACATATCAAATTATTCAATCTCAATATTCACGAAAAGTAACTCTTGAAAGGAGTTCCTGTACATTGTATTTCTATATGTGTTTTTAAAACTGGCTAAAGTACATTAAATGTGTAAATATTCGTTATTTTAATAAATTTTTTATTAAATCGAATATTATTGAGTAATCTTTGCACCTTTTTAAAATAGACGGCTTTGGTCACCATTGTAAATATAGTTTTAACTATTCGTAAAAAGTTGGACTTATGATTTTGAGGAACATGAAGGCAGTCAGTCCTATACCTTACTGCAGTCCTGCAAGTTATTTTAATCTGCATTCATTGTAATATGGTAGTTGAGTTTAATAATTTTAAGACTTGTGAACTCGATTCGTATCCAATAAAACAATTATAATTATAGAAACAAAAAGCAAAGATACAAAATTGTTTAAATTATTTTAATCAAAAGGTATAAATTGGGTATAAAACCGATTAGGTCACCCCTCCGATTTGCTTTAAAATGTATAGAAATATTCCTCATGTGGTAAAAAAACAATTTACCATGTGCCTTTTTAGACGGACATTTTTCTTTTCAAAATTTTCTTTTTCCAAAAAATTCAAAATATTTTTGTTTGTTTTATTTTTCAACCCTGGCTGATCCAACACCGGTATGTCCTTGATTCTACTACTAATACTTCTACTAGACTACTTTCTGCATTAAAATATTGTGATGATGTGCTTGTAAATAGTATAATATTTTAGTAGTGTTGTGTTGATTGTGGGTATAATACCATATAAGCATAATACTTTAACAAATAAATGAAAATAGTATTACCAGGACGGATAAAAGTAATACACTTGAAGTGTTAATTAAAAGTTGCCATCAATATGTCAGATTGAAATATTTTTTGACTTATTACATAGCGCTAAATTAAATTTTAACTCTGAAAAGGTACTTAATTCAAAAGTTTCGAATCTAAAAATGTATTTTCATATGTTTTGCATTCACATAAATACAAATGTATGCCTGTATATGGTATATACAAATATTCTTTTTTTTTAGATTCGCTTTCATTTGGCTTATTTTCGTAAGTTCAACCACCTTAATTGTAATTTGAAATTTTATATATGGTTTCGGTCCAATACAAAAAAATATAATTTTTTAGTTTGTATAAATGGATTCGGTACATCCTACTTGTCCGTTGTGACTACAGCCGGCTCTAAACTATGGTTTATATAAATGATTTGTAATAGACCACATACAGAAAATAATAAACTTAAAAATTATATAATAATTTCAATAACTAAGGGTACTTAAAGGCAGTGTAAACGATAATAGATGTATGCCTTTTTCGTGATTAAACAACTTAAAATGATGCTTCTTAAAACAAATATACAACTAACCAGGATACCTCATGCTACATACACTTGTATGACTACGGATTCATGTTCATTTTCAACCTTAATTTTATATATATATTTCTAAAAGCCATGTTCGTCAAATATTTATAAATGTTTGCAATCACTTTTACCTAAGTGTTGCTTCTACTGTTACCGTTTTCGTTATTTGTTTGACTAGTATTGCTGCTAAAACCGCTACAACAACTATTTTGAGTTGCTTTTGTGCCAAAATTACCAAGTCCAATTGCATCTGCAGTAGTTTTATTTACATTTGTGCCGTCTTTACTGCGCGCCTGATCAATTAGCTCGGCAGCTATCTCATAAAATAGGCGCTCAACATTTTCGGCTTCTTTGGCTGATGTTTCAAGAAAGTACATATCATGTTGTTTAGCAAATTCTTCACCAATTTGTGTTGGTATTTCCCGATCATCGCGATCTGTTTTATTGCCAACGAGTATTTTTAAAACTTTCGAATTCGCATATTCCTGTATTTCACGCAACCAGTCGGGCAAACAATCGAATGTCGGTTGACAGCTTATGTCATAAACAAGAATCAGTGCATGTGCTGATCGATAATAACTTTGGGTTATTGATCGGAAACGTTCCTGACCTGCAGTATCCCATATTTGTAGCTATACGTTAACAGTAAATATGAAAATATTAGTTAGGTCACCATCATTGTTGAAATGGTTTATTTACGTACCTTTATTTTTTCACCCTCAACTTCCACAGTTTTGATCATAAAATCAACGCCGATGGTGGCTCCTTGACCAGGTGGAAATAAACCTTGTGTGAACCGGCGCACCAAACAAGTTTTCCCCACACCCGCATTGCCAACAAGTACAATTTTGAAAAGAAATTTGTAGTCCTCCATTTTTGCCTTATTCTTTTAGCTGTAAATAAAAGAAAAAGGGTTAATGTTTATCATTATATACAGTGAAGGAGAAATGGGGGATGTCAGGAATTATTCCTACTGGGCCCGGAATTCTCAGAGGGTCTGGTGCACTACAACAATGTTTTGCATATTTTTTTCTCCAACAATTCACTACAATCATTCTAGGGCCCCGGTTTTCTCTCTGCGGCTCTGATTATATGTATGATTTTAGTAAAATGGAATACAATATTTAAATCGGATATGCACATAAATGCACAATTTGTCAATTAAGTAATTACGAAAGGAAAACATAATTTACATGAAAAAATTTCAAAATGAAAGCATGAAATTACTACATGAATAGGTTTTACTAACAGAAATCAATATGTTCAATCTATTTTTCATAAAACTATAGCTGCATGTAACTTAAATATATTTAAGGCGAACAAATTTTATAAATCAAAGTTTTATTTATTAATACTTTGCAAAATGCAAAAGTCGCAAATTTAGCAAAGTGTATGTTTGAATAACATATATAAATACGCTTTGAATGTTGAAATGTTAAACTTTTGTTTACGTATTATTTATATGGTAAATATTTTATTTATTTCTTTAGAAATACTAAAATTTTTAAACAATTTTTCTCGCTGATCACAGTGTTGTATTCAAAGTTGGCATTCATGTTATAAGCGATACATTAAATTACATGTGTAATTCATTCATTGATATTCTCATATGTATTTCAACGCTTTGAAACTGCTCTTTTAGTGCTTTACAATAAATTCCTAGTTTTAAATGTGTATTTAATTTTCATCCCCCAAAATATGTAGCACTTTCTAATATGACATCACGACTTTGATAGATTTTTCCTTAACGCACACTACCTACATTTACAAGTGGTATATTGGATGGTCAATATTACGTCCCACCCGTGTAATGGTTAAATATCTCCCTAATACGAAAATTTAGGCAATATTGTTTTTGCAACACTCACCTGTCCCTGCGTAAGTGTTAAAAGTGGTGACTCAACTACTTTTTTTTATTTCTTCACTTGCCAAATTTTTATGTTGAAACTTTTGGTTGGGCAATTAACCAGTGTTTTATGTTTTTCTTTTATAAATAATATATTCATATGGAATATCTTTAAGCTCTAGCATATATTACAGATTTTATTATAACAAGCAATTTGAATTTATGGTCAAAACCTTGCAAAATTTGGGATGTAAACAAACACAACGATGCTTGATCGGTATTTACGTATTAATATTCCACGATTTAACCTTTTCTCAAGTTGTAGTCCAATGAAATGTACTGTTATATACTCGCTGTTTTAGCTAAAACAATATAGAAAAGCTTATATTTTAACTTTTGAAATTTTCGATGACCACCTTAAATTATAACAAATGCTATGCTGAACACTCCTATGTGTGATGTTATTTACTATATAAGTATTTGCCTTCATGTATAAATAAAGTCTCGATTGCTGGCCAACCCTCGAGAATTTACTGTATGGGTGGTGTTCATTGCCTAGTAGGCAATGTTGTTTTAAGCAGTAACGCTGAAATGTTTTACGTCGATAAGATAAAAAACGAAAATTAACAAGTCACCTAACTGTAAATTATTTACGTTTTTATTGTAATAAAACAAAACATTTTATATGCTTGCAAACATTTGTGTATATTAAAATAAATGTTTTAAATACTCTTGTACACAATAAATCACAAACTTACGATTAAGTCGATTCACTAACGTTTTGTTATCATACTGGTATGCAATATTGCGATAAATTATATAAAGAATAATTTATAACTTTAAAAAATTGTTGTAGCGTCTCTGCTGTCCATATTTACTTTATTACATTCTTTGCTAACGCATTTTATGAATTAATCGATAGTAATCGAGCCTCGTATCGTTTCGCGTCGTGTATTCTTCGTATACCCTCGTACTTCGATAAGAAAAATAGAAGTTTCCATGCTTTTTCATTTCGTCGCGTGAAGTATACAAATTATTTACGTTTTAAAACATCAAAGAAGTATACTGTGTTGTTTAAAAGAGCACAAACTTTCAAAGTATAAAATACCTTTCTTACAAAATAGGAATTGAGATAAATAAATATCCGTGGTTTCAATAGAAGGAAGAGAGCAAGCAATCTAACCAGACAACATGGCCGAAGATTTTGATGTCGAAGCTATGCTGGAAGCACCATACATTAAAAATGTAAGTTTACGACACGAAAGTTGTCCATACTTTATCCCGTTTAATTGACAAAATATAAATACTGACGGAAAGGTAAAAAGTGGTTACTAAAATATTAAGGTTCACTAACATGTAACATTTTACCTAACATCCTATCAAGGTAATTGCATTACCGTGCATTTATAGAGAACATTGTGTGTTCTCGAAGTATATAATTGTACACATGAATTAACACTCGACAAGCCTTGAGTAGAACAAAAGCAAAATACAACAAGCACTTGCATATAAAAACTTGTTACGCTTGAACACCGATTTAGGTGTTTCTCGATAGTCAAACGAACTAGATTTGACTAAAAATGTGAATTATGGGAAAGCATATCTATGAAAAATGTTTGTGAAACTTATTTCTTAACACAGCTGATGTTAAATTTCTGAATACATCAAACCAAAAGTTTTTATAATCATTTATTATGTGTAGTGCGTGCAACACTTGCCGACTAATTATCACTTTTTGTTTAAATGCTGCCCCAAAAATAGTTTAGTATGAAAATTATTAAAAGACTTTGTTTCTCTTAGAAATTATTCTATATTCTATTTATACTCTGATGAATAAAGTCAAAAGCAGCTTTCTAACAATTGTAAACCTTACGAATAGCCAAGAAATTGTAATCTAACAAAATTTAAAACATGCACATAATTTTATTCTAATGCTTTTAGAAAGATTGCAAATTTTGAACATCATCAAGAACGGTTTAAATCATAAACGTGTCTATAACTTGTAGGGCATGAGTTGTGACTAAGGTGGTGCACATTTTTATCGTTGGATCATAGGAACTTCAGAAGTCGTAGTATTGTGTATGAATTTTCTATAAAAACATTGAGTGAAAAACTCAGAACTACAATTATGATAAACTAGTTCTTAAAGGGATTAGGTTTGTAAATATATACATAAATATCCATTAGGCTATATTATATTGATATTAATTAAAAATATTTAATGTTTTATAGAGTCAAGCATGCTAATACCTGGCATGAAATAAATTATATTATATTGGAGAATTAAAGTGGATTTATAGAATTCAGTTCAGACAGTGGATTTTGAAGTCATTGAACAAATTTTGTCTTATTGCGTTTATCACCGTTGATATCCCGAACAAATACTCTGTGGGTTGATTACAAAATTTCTAGTATAAAAATTAAGGTTATTTCAAAAAAAAAGTCATTACTATGTGTACCAATTTTAGACAAATTAATGAAATAAATCAAACTTTTATATAAAAAAAAAATTATGTGGGCTTGACAACGTATATTCTCTAACCTGCGTAATTTCCAAATCATTTTTCTTTAATACAAATCAATAAATCTTAATTATGAGGACGTTTTATATACTTATATTAAAAGCGACTATTATCTCCAGCTAGTCGTAGATTTGAGTTCAAAAATAACATATAATAATTTATTTATTTTAATATATTTGTTTTTACTAAATTCTTTATTTTCGTTTCGCAAACAAAACACTAAAAAATTTTGCTAAACATTCATATGTTATGTGCAGTTTTTCTAAATTAATTAATAAGTCATATTTGTTACAAACCTTGATATTCTCAACTGAGTCTTAAAGAAGTTCCATAAAAAAAATTGTCTGTGTTTTCTTTACACGAAAATAAGACCTGATAGACCCATAGATATTTTGATTTTCGGAAGAGCTTAATAAGGCGATTATTTACTGTTAATAAGTATTACCATATAAAATCTTCATGGCTTATATATTTTAATATTTAATATGGTAATTTATTCGCGTAACTTACTTCCTGATGAAAGTTGTCTTAATTAAATATTGAACCTTCATTTGGGTAACATTTTAATGATTTATTATGTATTATGAATTAGATGTTGAGGTTTTAAACCACGTATTGTGGTATACCATATTTTATGGGAAATATATTTGATGATTTGAAAATCAAATATTAATATAATTATAATTTCCATAATTTTTTAAATGTAATTTTGCATATATTGATCAATGGAAGATTTACACAGATAGTGCTACAAATTTGGGCGGGTTATATTTGCTACCTGTATGTATGTATGTATTTTTTCCTTTATTTTGGAATTTTTAATTTTCTTGCTGGCACATTAATAAATGATGTGGTTGCTCACATCTATATGTTTCCTCATCAACCACTCAGGATAATCCTATTTGAAAAGATACAAAAATAAAAAAAGACACATTCATAACTCGAAAAAATATGAAATAATTCTCAAGGGTGAAATGTCTTTGCAGAAATCGTAAAAGCTCAATTTGTTGCTAGTGATTGTTTTGGTCATTCTAACGATTAAAGCCGGAGACCATTTGGTAAGTTTGAATGCGCCAGAAAAAAATATTTCGTCTAAAAAAAGTATAATATTGTACTAAGAAAATTTGTATCGATGCATTTTGTATGTCAAGCAAAAACTAAGTTTTCTTTTTGTGCTAAATCTTAAAATACATACATAATTATATCTTAAAAATCAAACATTTGAAACGTTTTAAAATATAAAATGAACTGAACGTGAACTAAATTTCAGATAATCTCGTACATATTTGCGTCTGTGTGGCAGCACTTGTCTTAAACAAACAGGATTTTGAAGGGCAAAACCAATTCACATTATCTACCACCTACCTACTTCACCCCAAAAATATGACAATAAAATACCACTTCAACTTTTCGAATCGAAATCGAATGCTTGAGCAAATTGCATGAGAATATGTTTGTGAGATATTTCGCTGCCGAGCGAAGGTTCCACTGAATATTCTGAAGCAAGCAAATAAACAAGAGTGTATATTGCAATAGAAAGATGCTACATCAAATGATTAAATCAATAAAAAACATATTTATAATGAATAAAAATAAAAAATCATAATACATAAAAACCAAATGTAAATGACTGAAGCAATGGACGATTGAGTGGTGGGAAATTAGCCATCAAATTAAGCCCATTGCTGCAAATTAAACAAAAAATAATTGTATGTTTTCACAGAAAAAAAGATCTAACTAATTCCTTTGATTTGCTTTCTCTCATTCGCTCAACATCAAATTTTTAACGAACCAAATTCGATTGACGGCAAACCGCAACTTGCACGTCAATTGCGTCCTTCCACACTTCCTTCTCCTATAAATATATGTAAAATAGAATGCACCCAGTCGAGGGGGAGATCACGATGCCAGCAGTAGAAAGTCACCATACAGAGAACATCAAGAGAGTAGCAGTAGCAAGGGTGGAAGCAAATCGTCACATTTCAATGGACGTAAGCATTATTCAAGGTTAGTACTTAGTAGGAATTATTTTTTTTTTTATAATATTCTAATATGTCTTATTGAAATTTTTAGAAGTCGTTCGGGCTCACCACGTACTACAGATGATCGAAAAGGGCCCAAATCAAAGGACCGCGATCGTCATCGTGATAGAGACGAAAGTCGTTATTCTAGGGATAGGGATCGCACCCGTGACAAAGATCGCGTACGTGATCGTGAACGTAATGGAGAACGCGAACGCCGTTATGGATCACAAGATCGGGAACGTGACCGTGATGCTGAGAAACGACGTAGTCGTTCCAAGGACAGACGCCGAAGTAGCCGGTCACGAGAACGTGATCGTCGTTCAAGAGAAAGACGTGGTAGTAGACCACGCTCCGAACGACAACGTAGTCGTTCTCCAACACGAGATCGCCCCTCAAAAGATAAAAAACTAAGCCCAATTCGGGAATATAAAGGTAGTCGACCAGGATTTGGATCAAACTCGAGAGAAAGAAGGTACAACTCTATATAAATACACATAGAATTGAACTTGTTATATACAACTGTTAAGAATTGTAATAATTAATATGACATTTTTCAGCACCAAGCGGCGAAGCAATTCTCCACGACCGTTCCGTCGCGGCAGAACGCCACCCAACGGTCTGGGTGATCGATCTCCGCGTGCTGATCTCAGTCCTGAGGAACGGGATGCCCGTACCGTATTTTGTATGCAACTGTCACAACGCATTCGTGCCCGCGACTTGGAAGAGTTTTTCTCAAGTGTCGGAAAAGTGCGAGATGTTCGCTTAATAACCTGCAACAAAACGAAACGGTTCAAAGGTATAGCATACATTGAATTCAAAGACCCAGAATCAGTTGCACTAGCACTGGGTTTGTCGGGTCAAAAACTACTGGGCATTCCAATTTCTGTACAACATACACAGGCTGAAAAAAATCGTATTGCAAATGCTGTACCCACGTTCACACCTAAGAATCACACTGGACCTATGCGATTATATGTAGGATCGCTGCATTTTAACATTACTGAAGATATGCTTAAAGGCATTTTTGAACCATTTGGGAAAATAGACTCCATACAATTAATAATGGATACTGAGACTGGGCGTTCTAAAGGATACGGATTTATTACGGTAGTTTATATATTCTAAAATTTTCAATTAATAAATTTTCTTGTTGTAAAGAACATTTTAATAATAACACTTATTGCAGTATCACAATGCGGATGATGCAAAAAAAGCTTTAGAACAGCTAAACGGCTTTGAATTGGCAGGGCGACCCATGAAGGTGGGAAATGTGACTGAACGTTTAGATATGAATACGTCTTCTTTGGATACCGATGAAATGGATCGAAGCGGCATAGACCTGGGTGCGACTGGTAGATTGCAACTGATGTTTAAATTAGCAGAGGGTGCTGGTTTGGCAGTACCTCAAGCTGCAGCCAACGCTTTATTAGCTACTGCACCACAACCAGCACCAATTCAGACTCAGACTCAAACTCCGGCCATAGCTACGCAATGTTTCATGCTATCTAATATGTTTGATCCCCGCACAGAAACTAATCCAGCATGGGATAGTGAAATACGTGACGATGTCATTGATGAATGTTCCAAACATGGCGGCGTACTACATATTTTTGTTGACAAGGCATCACCAACGGGAAATGTCTATGTAAAATGTCCAAGTATAACCACCGCTGTTCTGGCAGTAAATGCTTTACATGGACGTTGGTTTGCGGGTCGCGTCATTACCGCAGCCTATGTACCATTACTGAATTACCACTCTCTATTTCCGGATGCGATAACAGCAGTTAATTTGTTAGCCTCAAAACGAAAGTCGGGTGAATAAAGTTAAAAAGAAAAATTATTAGTCATAAGTATATGTAGCGCTGATTGGCTTTCAAATTTTATATATCGGTGGGACGTTTGAGCATGTTCACATTATGTTAACCATGCATTCCTGCTCTCGCAATGCTAGAAGAGATATTCGATCCACTATCACATCGCATCGTTTTTATAGAGACACAACGTTCTTTGCTGATTAATTGCATGGGGTTTTATTAAACATCTGCCTAGTTATAATCTAATCGTTCTAATTTTTTCTTCTAATTTGTATTTTAGTAGAACTTTGAAATTTAATAAAAATATAAATATTATAACTTTGAAATGTAAAAATATACATAACCATATATTTGAACACCACAATAAAGAAAAGGCGTTTAAATTTATTTTAAATGAATGAAGAGTTTACCGCTTACTTTTTATATATAAACTTTAAAAAGTTTTCACTCTTTTTTGACTGGAACGAAATGTATGTAAGTATATATGTATGTGGAATATCTAAAACTACAACATAGTTGACAATTTGAACGATGCAGCAGTAATTAATGCTAAATTTGGTGTATTTATATATACAGTAATTTCATAAAATGTCAATAACTTGGACTGAAAAAATCATGTTAGTTAAATATTCGTGTCCATTGACTATTTTCCGCAGGATATCTGTGCATATGTATCTAAATAGCTGGAAATGAACTGACTGACGAGTCGGCCCGCTCTGCAGCCCCTACAAAAATGGTAGGACCAGAACCATGCATAGCGGTTGGTCCACCCACCATTAAGGAGCTGCTCCGTAAAGAGGAAAGAGCGGGCAGGGTGAGACATTGTCAACATCTCCAAGGCATACGCCATGCCAGGTTGCAGATGGATGGTTTTGTCCTTAAACGGTTTAAAACCGTAATCAATCTCCCGAGAAATAAATCCCGGCTACTTGCCGCGTTCTACACCGGCCATTGCAGGCTGAATAAACATCTATTCAACATGGGCTTAGTCTCTTCTGCAAACTGCCGGTTCTGTGACATGAAGCCGGAAACCCCAGAACATCTGCTAGTGGACTGCACAGCAGTTTGCAGACGCAGAATTAAGGTCCTGGGATCCATGTTTCCCAACAGGGATCGTATCGCTTCGCTAGCACCTAGCAGTATACTAAAGTTCATATATATGCTGGGGCTAGACGAGTCGTTGTGACTTAGGGAAGGGCACAATAGACCATAGGTCGCGGTGCATACCTCTATTCAAATCTATCTATCTATATACACAAAGCCAATAATCTGTGTTTACCCGACACATTTTTTTAAGTGAAGTAAAAACACAATGTAAATAGGTAATTCAGTTGAAATTTTCTACATGTATTTCTTCTTTATATTTTTAAGTTCAAAATGCACAAACAAAAATGTATATTCCTGTTTTCATTTATGTGATAACGGGATTTTATTATTAAATATTTTATTATCAATATTTTAACATTTGTTTAGCCATACGCCTTGATGGTAATTATCAAGACCTGTAAGTTTCCGTCACAATTTTAATTTTTAACTACGACTAATGATCAAATTGACTCATCTGACAAAACTCATTTACACGAAGCTTTAGTTCCAATGTTTTTAAAAAATTAAAAAAAAAAGTTTTAAAAAATGATTCTGTCAATTTAAAATCAATGAACCGCCAAAAAATCGCAGCTGTTTCATTTTACTGATGTATATACATACTGTTTAGGATTATTTACATTAGTTTAAGATTATTTTCTAATAATGTCAACTCTAATCTGGCAATACTGTCTTATCTAAGCTTTATATTTGTCATCTCTCTTTTATCATTCATTTGTCTTTATAATTATCTTTGTTTACGCATACTTAAAGTTACGGTATTTTGAATTCCGTTAAACTCCTATAAATGTCAGAGGACTTGTGTGTACGACTCTCTTCTCTGATTGTAACTTGGTGCTGATTGTATTCGTCTCTGGTTTGGTGTCAAGCCAACCGGTCACAATCGTTAAAATCCCAATAAAGCTTTGAGAACTCTACCCGCTGGTAATTTAATTATTTAACATTTTGGTGCCTCCTGTGAGGACAAATATTTTAATTTCATTTTGTAATTGCGGTGGTCTGGTTTCATGGCGGAGCTCAATTGGCGTTCATCGGCGGTGAAAGCAATAAAGCGCATACATGCACGTGTCTCGGAAGGTGTCATGGAAGGTCATGATGTGTTTCATTTTCAACAAGAGCTCAAGTCGCTTGAATCACACTTTGAGCGCTTCATGGAGAACCATAATCGTCTGGTAGGAGGAGCTACGTCCTCCGAGATTGGGTCACATGATGCACTTTTGGAATCAGTAGAGGAGCTGTATACTGCGGCATGCAGTAGACTGAATCGTCTCATCGCATCGTCAAGGGTTGAATCTAATGTCGCTGACGGAGCGCACAATTGTCCCACAACATCTCTGGATGGCCATTTGGTGGATCTCAAATTGGACCCGTTAGCTATCCCGTTATTTGATGGAGACATGTGTAAATGGTTAGCGTTCAAAGATGCCTTTGAAACACTGGTACATAATTCGGCATACCCAGAAGCGTTCAAATTGGGAAAGCTTCGTCAGGCAGTCAATGCGGCTACTGTTCCGTTAATTGGGGGAATATATTCGGGTGGCTATCAAGAGGTGTGGAAAGCTCTAAAGGACCGCTATGACAATAAAAAGCAGCTAGCGGAAATACACGTATCCCGTTTTCTTAACCTTAAAACAGCTACCCATGAGTCATCACAATCGTTATTGGCTATTGTGGACACGGTTCATGAGTCGCTGCGTGCATTGCGTGTGATGGATATCCCCATATCTCAGTGGGATGCGTTAGCTGTACCAATAGTGGTGGCAAAGCTTCCGTCGGTAACTAAGAGAGATTGGTGTATGAGGTGCTCCACTACAGAAATTCCACAGTTAGAAGACCTATTGAAATTTCTAGAGAGACGTGCTCATAGCCTTGTTACTGAACCACCGGTCTCATTAATGGTTTCCCGTCAGCAACGGCCAGTGAGGGCCCATGTGGCTACCACGGAGGCAGCTCTGTGTGCTCATTGCGGGTTAGCGCATCGAATCGCCAGGTGTCCGACATTATTGGCTCTTAGTATCGAGCAGCGATTTGAAGCCCTTAAGAAAATGCAGATGTGTTACAACTGTTTACGTACGGGTCATTCTTATCGACAGTGTCCATCTAGTAGCTGTCGAAATTGTGGACGTAAGCATAACACGATCCTATGCCGAAACAAGTCCATCAACAAGTCAACGTTTGCTTCTACGACTACGGCAGCCGCAGGCAATGAGGTACCTGCGGAGGTGCCAACAACCACAGCGGCATGACTAGCCGCACCTGCGAGGCCCCTCGCTGCCAACCCAAAGCCGATAACCCTTTTAGCAACAGCGCATGTATATGCCGTTGGAGAAGCATCGGTGCAGCGAGTGGCACGAGTTCTATGCGATCCCGGCTCACAGGTTAGCTTTGTGACGGATCGTCTAGCGAATTGTTTGCAGCTATATCGACGGAAATGTGATGTAAGGGTAGAAGGCGTAGGTGCTACCATCAATACTCGAGTGAAAGGCAGCGTTACGTTCACTCTGAGATCAACAACAACTAACTTTGAAATGCGAATTGATGCTTTGGTTTTATCGTCCATTACTTCTCCAACTCCAGCAGTGAAGATTGACATAAACCAATGGCCATATTTGAGAGACATAGATTTGGCGGACAACCGTTTCGGTACGCCTGGAACTATCGACGTTCTGATCGGCGCGGACGTGTGGGGGCGACTCATTGAAGGTAAAGTCATCGGTGGAGGACCAGACGAACCTTTTGCCCAGCGTACCCGCTTTGGATGGGTGGTGTTTGGCCCAACAGCAGTGACCCTTCCTGCACAGGAATCATTGCTCACCCTAACCACTTCGCTAGACAGGGAGGACCACCGGTTGGAGGAACTGGTGTCCAAATTTTGGCAAATGGAGGAAATAGCAGTGGTTGACGATCTGCCAGAGAATGAATGTGCGCAGATCTTCGAGACCACTCATAGCCGTACCTTAGACGGCCGTTATATCGTACACTTACCTTTGCGACGAAAGGCAACGGAACTAGGTGACTCTTACGCACTGGCATTACGGCAATTTCATAGACTGGAGCGTCGCATGGTTGCGGATCCAGTCCTTAGGGAAAACTACATTTCATTTATGAGGGAGTATGCAGCACTCGGACACATGGAACTAGTACAACCACCTTATGATCATACCAATTGCTACTACATTCCTCATCATGCGGTCACAACGAAGTTCCGCGTGGTGTTCAACGCTTCGGCACCTACCAGCACTGGAATCTCACTGAACGATGTTCAACTGGTAGGTCCGACCCTACAGGATTCGCTGAGTAGTATACTTTTACGTTTTCGGCGCTATCGAGTGGCGATAACTGCGGACATAGAGAAGATGTTCAGGCAAGTATTGGTTGCATCTGAACATCGCGACTATCAACGAATTATATGGCGAGAGACTCCTGCAGACGAGATCCAGGTGTATCGCCTGAAGACCATCACATATGGCATGGCATGCAGTCCTTACAATGCAGTACGAGCCCTACAACAATGTGCTTATGATAATTCAGCTGTGGTTCCCGAAAGGCAACAAGGGACGCGGGCTCGAGCTGCGATATTAACCTCGTTTTATGTTGACGACTTCTTAACGAGTTGTGAAAGCGTTACCGAAGCAGTGGAGCTGGCTAAGAACGTGGACGCCATCTTATCTGCGGGACAGTTCACTCTAAGGAAATGGAACTCGAACGATAGTCAGGTAATGATTCGTTTATCTAATGAGCCGTCACTTTCTAATTATGTCTTCCATGCTGGTGAGGCTTCCGTTTTGGGCTTAAGATGGGACGCACTGGAGGATCAGTTATTCTTTCGCGTCGAGTTATGTCAAGGAGTAGAAATTCCAACGAAGCGCCGTGTACTCAGCGAGGTGGCACGACTCTTCGATCCTACTGGATTCTTATCGCCTGTTATCGTAACAGGGAAAATATTCATTCAGCGACTATGGTCTGCGGGTCTATCCTGGGACTCACCATTACCTGATGATCTTTGCCGCGAATGGCTGAAGTATCGGTCACAGCTTCCGGAGCTCAATCAAATTCGTATCGAACGGTGGATGGGAATGATTCCACGCGTTCAGACATCATTTCATGGGTTTTGCGATGCCAGCTCACATGCTTATGCAGCAGTTATTTACGCGAAGACGTCGAACACAAACGGTGCGATGCGTTTCACACTTCTAACGGCACGTACCAAAGTGGCACCACTTAAAATCGCTACCATTCCACGCCTGGAACTTGCAGCAGCGCTGCTTCTTGCCGAGACATTCCAGAACGTGCGAGATTCTTTGGGATTAGTTGACGTTCCCTACCATCTGTGGTCGGACTCAGCAATCGTATTGTGTTGGCTCAGGAAGGATCCAGCAACACTTAAACCATTTATATCAAATCGGGTTCGTAGAATACAGGAGCTGACATCCCCCGCCCGATGGCATCACATTCGTTCGGCTCATAACCCAGCTGATTGTGCCAGTAGAGGTATCACACCCGCCGAGCTATTAGTACATCCCCTTTGGTGGCATGGACCTAAGGAGGCAGAGATGATGTATGGGGACAGTAGTGATGTTCCTCTCAGCAAGGATGAGTCAGATGTCTTACTCGCCGAAAACCGAAATACCACCAAATTTATTGTACTCATTTCACATCCGTTGTATACTCGTCGTCCAAACGGACACGCTATTTTGTTAACTGAACGGTTCAGTAGTATCACTCGATTGTTGGGTACATTGGCCATTATACTGCGCTGGTTAAGAAGGCGTCGACACTTTCGTCAACCGGTGATCGTTGCTCAGGAGTTGGAAGACGCATTATACACTATAATCCGTTTAGAGCAAGAGGAACATTTTGCAAATGAAATTCGACAATTGACGTCTCGTTCAGGTTTGTCATCTTCCAGTCGGATAATACCTTTAAACCCATTCCTAGACAAGAACCAAATCCTCCGTGTGGGGGGACGCATCCAACAGGCCGAACTAGGGCATGATCAGCGATTCCCGATTATTTTGCCAAAGTCAACGCCGTTGGTCAAGCTTTTACTAAATCAGGCGCATGAGATTACACTGCATGGAGGCACGCAACTCATGCTGAACACTCTTCGTCAACGCTTCTGGATTCTGAGTGCCAGGCAAGCAGTCAAGAGTTTCATCCATAACTGCACAGTATGCCGCCGTCATAGAGGGGAAGTCCTGAAGCAACAAATGGCTTCCTTACCCGGGCAGAGGATCAGAGCAGCAAGGCCGTTCATATCATCTGGTGTCGATTACTGTGGACCTTTTACGCTACGCATCGGAACGAAACGCTCTCGAACGCACATCAAGACGTACCTCGCAATATTCGTATGCATGGTTACCAAGGCCGTGCACATTGAGGTGGTTGATGACCTATCGGCACAGGCCTTTCTAGATACTTTTACTCGTTTCGTCAGCCGACGCGGTCCCTGCCGGGATTTATATAGTGACAATGGTACAGCCTTTGTTGGTGCCAACCGCCTTTTGAAGGAGGATCTTGCAGCATGGCAGGGTGAGAATAATCAGCGATCGTTAGCAGATTCGGGCACACGTTGGCATTTCATCACACCCAGTGCGCCACATCAAGGAGGCCTCTGGGAGGCTGCTGTGAAGTCCGCTAAGCATCATTTGACACGATGTGTGGGTACGCAGGTCATGTGGTATGGTCAACTACAGACACTAGCCGTAAGAATAGAGGCCTGTCTCAATTCCCGTCCTATAACCCCACTTTACGACGATCCTGAAGAGAAACTTGCATTAACCCCAGGTGATTTCCTGATTGGGTCGCCACTCCTAGCGGTCCCTGAACCAGATATCAACCATATTCCTAGCAACCGGCTGAAACAATGGCAATGGATACGTCAAATTCAACAAGGATTTTGGAAGCGGTGGAGTGAGGAGTATCTAACCATTCTGCAGAGACGCCACAAATGGTTTCGACGCACGAGGAATATAAGGGTGGACGATATCGTTCTAGTCAAACAAGAGAACCTGCCTCCCACTCACTGGTGCCTGGGTCGAGTGACAACACTACATCCCGGAGCGGATGGAGTGGTCCGCAATGTCACGTTGAGAACCGCTAGAGGATACATGAAACGAGCCATCCAGAAACTATGTCTATTGATAGAGAAGGAAGATTTCGAGTCGACCGACTCGACCGGGCAGGATGTTTAGGATTATTTACATTAGTTTAAGATTATTTTCTAATAATGTCAACTCTAATCTGGCAATACTGTCTTATCTAAGCTTTATATTTGTCATCTCTCTTTTATCATTCATTTGTCTTTATAATTATCTTTGTTTACGCATACTTAAAGTTACGGTATTTTGAATTCCGTTAAACTCCTATAAATGTCAGAGGACTTGTGTGTACGACTCTCTTCTCTGATTGTAACTTGGTGCTGATTGTATTCGTCTCTGGTTTGGTGTCAAGCCAACCGGTCACAATCGTTAAAATCCCAATAAAGCTTTGAGAACTCTACCCGCTGGTAATTTAATTATTTAACACATACAAACGCATAAAAGCAAAGAGTCTCAAAAGATTCTTACTATTTTCAAATGAGTGTCCTAGACATCTATTCAAAATTTACCTTCAATACAAGTTGGTCGCAATCGTTATATTAAAAATACTGAAAAAATGGAATGAGTCGCTTTGTATGAGCAGTTTGCAATTTGATGATATACCATATATAAAACAAATATTTTCTATTTACGTACATATATTGGCTTTAAAGGATTTTAATTAAATAGAGCTGACAATTTATCTCACATAATTATTTACTGTTAAAAAATTACAGGCTGTATTGTCATACTCATTAATAATAAAGTGGCAACCCTTCTTCAAATTCATTTTCTCCGAAAGAAAAAAAGTTTTTGTCAAACTCTACTATTGTCAGAGAATGTAAAATATAAAATAATAATCTACATTCTCTGCTATTGTCACTTTCAAAAACAATTAATATTCCGTTCGAACACATCTTTGAAGTAGAGCTCACTGAACAGAGCTCAATTCAGTGACAATTAAACATAGCTCAGTAATTTTTCGTTGTCCAGTGTCATTTGCGGACATTCTTTTTTTAGTTTCGCACAATTAAATCATCAATATTTAAACGAAAATATTTGACGTAGTTTTTCTTGGTGCAAATAGATTACAGTTAAGGCAATATATTTTTATTTTAAAAAGTTTACTCTTATATGCAATAAGTTTTGTGTCGGCAAGACGAAGTGAAAATGGAGAAATAGAAATGAAAATAATGTGTGCGTAATCGAATCCAGTGTGCTAAGCGAAAAACGCGAACCTCGTTTAAGTAGAAACGAATAAAGCAATTGCAACAATAATAAAAGACGGTCATTCGTAATGAAAAGCGGAAAATTCGATTTTTCTAATGAAGCTCTAACTTAATACTTCAATAAATAGTTTGTACAATTTGTCAATCGAAACAAGGATAGGAAGTTTCACTAGATATATTTCTTTGGATTATAAAAAAAGACAATGGTAATAAAAATGTATTTAAATTGAGTTAGAAAATTATTTTGTCGTATATTTTAGGTGTGTGGAAATGATTTTGTAATCGTTCGGTGCCACAAACGCCTACACACAAGTGTGATTTTCACGCAAATATTGTTTTGTGCTTGTCCAAAGTTTTAAATAATATAGTGATGGTTGTTTTTATCCTTATTATCTTATATAAGAACTGTAGATGCTTTTTTTTTTTTGCTTTGCTTTGAATTCTATATTGGTCTATTCATTAATTATTTAATGAGAGCGCCGCAACAGTAGTTGTATTTGTTTGGCACAAATAATTGGTTAAAATTTCAAAAAGTGTTAATTTGTAGGAAAAAAACGGAATTGACAGTTTATACGCACTTGATACTGCATGATCGTAGAAAAAAAATTTTGCAAAAAGTAAACAGTTTGCATTTGTTGCGAATTGTTATGATTTTAATCAAACATTTGTGTTCACACGTGCATTCTGTATGCATATATGCAGAAACTTGTTATTATATTTAAACAAATACTCAGTCCTATTATGCAACTTAGATCCTTAACTGTATGGCTTTATAAGTCACAAGCCCACAATCATTTAAATATATTACAATGAAATGAAAACGATAAACGTATCGAAAGCATGATAATATATGAGTAATTTATTATATTCTCTCTATCTTATTTACTTAAGCTCTACGTTGTTACTTATCAAAAATAGTAATTCTAAATGACATAGGTGAAACAATTATTTTTAGTTCCTCTTTATTCTGCGATGACCACTAACCATACCATACTAAAATAAATATTTCTGCAGAAAATATACATTTTGAAATTTTTGGATCGGAATAAAATATTTCCCACTTTATTTGGAGGAAATGCTTTTAAAATTACAGTTCTATAAAAATTCGGAATCCATACGGCGTCTGTAGATCCACCTGCTTTATATATGTATAAACATTGCGGGGAAACAATTTGTAATTCTTTAAAAATATCGAATATGGTACACATAATTTGTATGATATATAATATTATATTACTAAGGTCCATACTTGCGCCGCTATTTTATTACGAGTTTATGTACATACATACATATCTGTAATTAGTAAGGAAATCTTTATTTTTACAATTTTTGGTTATTTTGTGTGAGTTTTTTGTAGTATAACATTAAATTATGAATATATGGGTCTGAGTACAGCTACAAACATATGAAGTCAGTTCATGATCAATAGGAAAGCGCAAACGTCAATGTTTGATGGAGCAGCTGGGGTATCACCATATTTGCACGTAGGCAACTTACTTATCTCACCTTTGCAGCAAAGATTTACCAAACAGCAAAGCGTGATTTTGAACTAAATAATGGCAAATATATTCGTTACTAAAGCGCTGTATAATTTGTCATATGGCGCCTGGTGTGCCGCCGAAAAAAACTTTTCAGTGGCGAATGGAGTAAGAAGTTAATTAGCACTTCTTCCATTGCCTTAACTGCAGGGGCATGTGTATATAATTTTAGTTTAGCATTTAGCGGTTTTTTAAATTTATGGTAAACATGTTTATGTAAATGAGTTGGTGCACATATGTACATATATATATTTATGTATTTATGCATGCACATATGTACATATATATATTTATGTATTTATGCATACACATATAAATATATTTACTAAAGCTTCTACACTTTGATATCTCTCAATCTATAGACTATTAATCTAATAGATTTGTTTATTGAGAAGTGCAGGCAATCAATATAAGCATTTAATTCAAGAGTTATTTTTTGTATGCATAATCATAGGGTTATAGCCGGTTGACTAAGCTACAAAATAAGATACAAGCATCCTATAAACTTTAGCAAATAGAAACATTACGAGGGTAGAAATGCAGACACAACAAGTAAATTACTAGCCATACTATTTTGTTTATGTTGATAGATCTATGTAAATAAAATAAAAACACTTTCAATGGTTTGAAAATTTTATTTATTTGGATATCATACAAATCTGGTTTGAGCCTGTACAATTTTTTTCACACAAATAATAATTTTATCTTATGTATTTGGAAATTTAGTTTAATTATTTAGTATTGTAAAGT